TTATCTGCTCAGAGGGCCTTTGGTCTGATGTAGCAGATAGAAAGTCCATAAATAAATAAATAAATATTGGCATACAGTCAATTGAAACAAATGCCTGGCTGTCTCTAGGAGCAAGATAAAAGATCCTCAGTTGGCTGCAGGAAATCTTGTCACAGGTGGGTAAGGTGAATTTCTGGAGCAGAGGTGCAGTATAATGATCTGTGTTTGTCCTTCACTTGCTGTGCCGCACAGCAGGTGCGAAAGAAATGAGCAGAGATTGGACAGACAAAATGGGAGTTCCATTCTGCTCCATGCAGAGACCTAAAGGTCTGTGTTGTGATAAGGCAGCTGCAGCAGCCCTAAAAGCCCAATCTGGGACCCCCTCCCCACTCGCAACACCTGCCGCAGCCGTTGGGCCGCCACCGAGAACATCGCGGTGCTCCGCTGGGTTCCGGGAGGCAGCTGACGCTGCTCCAGCGGCCACTGCTGGACCATCCTGGGATCGGAGGATGCCGAGGACTCCGCCATCGCCCCGCTGCTGAGGAGGGGGCTGCCATCTTGCCGGCCAGCGAGTTCCCGTGTCCGCTCTGCACCCGCCCCGCCCGCCGGCGTTGGTGAGAGCAACGCTGGATTGGGGGCGGGGAGCAGGGACAGGCACCGGCTTAACTCGCCAGATGCGGCCAGGGCCGGCAGCTGAAGGGCGATGGCCAAAGGGCAGTTGCCGCCGTTTGAGGCCGTTTGAGGCCGTGTGGGGGCTGGGCTGGCGAGGGACCTTGGCGGTGGGTGGAATTTTATATTGGAATTTTTGTTGGGGGTAGACGGGGACTTTTATATTGTTTTAACGTTTTTATTGTATTTTATCTTGTTTTTATGGAGTCGTTCCTGGCCATGTCGACGGTTGGGTTACCTGGGGAGCGCGTGGGCACCACCATTGGGGTGGTCGGGGGCAATGGACGTTACAGCGGTGGGGGTTTAACGTGTCTGCGTAGAAGAAGGAGGGACAGATGGCTGACACCTGTCCCTCCTTCTGGTTCTACCCCCAGCCTGAGGGTTCCAGGTAGTCTTGTCAACTGCTCCCCGGGCCTGATGGTGCTGCTGCTTAATGCCAGGTTGGTCCATAACAAATCATCCCTCATCCACGACCTGATTATGGATGAGGGGGCCGACCTGGCTTGCATAACAGAGACCTGGGCGGGAGAGTGGGGGGATGTCGCCCTCTCTCAAATGTGCCCTCCCAGGTATCTGGTTCAGCACCATCCATGCCTGGAGGGGAGGGGAGGGGGGTTGCTTTGGTTTACCGAGCCTCCATCTCCCTAGCGGGGCTTCCAGTCCCCTCGAGGCCGGGGCTAGAGTGTGTCTACTTGGTGTTGGGTGACCAAGACAGATTGGGGATTCTGTTGGAGTACCGTGCACCCTTCTGCCCAACAGACTCCCTGCCTGAGCTGATGGAGATTGTCTCAGATCTGGTGTTGAGGACCCCCAGGCTGTTGGTCCTGGGGGACTTCAATCTCCATACCGAGACTGTTCTGACCGGGGCGGCTCAGGACTTCATGGCCTCCATGACGGCCATGGGGCTGTCTCAACATGTCACTGGCCCGACCCATGAACGGAGACACACTCTGGACCTGGTTTTCTCGATGGGGCAGGAAGAGGGTGGTCTGAGGGTGAGGAATTTATGTCTGACACCCCTGTCATGGTCAGATCACTTCCTCTTGAGGTTTGTGCTCGAGAGTGGCCCTTCCCTCTGTAAGGGTGTGGACCTGATTGTGTGGGTCTGCCCCCAGAGCCGGATGGATCCGGATGGATTCCTGAAGGTCCTGGGGGAGTTTCCGGTTGACAAGGCTGGTGCTCCTGTCGAGGCCCTGGTCGAACTATGCAATGGGGAAATGACCAGGGCTATGGACATGATCGCTCCCAAGCTTCCTCTCCTGCTGGGCAGACCCCACTCTTCCCCTTGGTATACACCTGAACTGCAGGTGATGAAGCGGGTTGGGAGACGTCTAGAGTGTAGGTGGAGGAAATCATGGGATGAATCTGACCGAACACACTTAAGAGCCCATTATCGGGCCTATGCTGTGGTGGTGTGGGCGGCAAAAAAGAAATTCTTCTCCGTTTCCATTGCCTCCTCACAATGCCGTCCGGCGGAGCTTTTTCAGGTGGTACAAGGGCTTGTTCATCCTGGCCCTAAGAAAAATCCGGTACCACCCTCAAAGGCCCACTTTGCCAAGCATTTTAGGGAGAAAATCGCTCAGATTCGTCACGAGCTGGACTCCACTAGTGACCCAGAGGCTTCTGGGGAGTTACCGATGTCGCTGTCTGGTCCAAACTTGATGGATGAGTTTCAGTTACTGAGGCCTGATGATGTGGACAAGGTGCTTGGACGAGTACGTCCCACTACTTGCCTATTGGACCCTTGCCCATCTTGGCTAATTAACAACGCCAAGCACGGAATAGGGACCTGGATCCTGGAAGTGGTTAACGCCTCTCTGAGGGATGGCTGGGTACCTGCCCCTTTAAAGGAGGCGGTAGTCCGACCAGTCCTGAAGAAGGCATCACTGGATCCAGAGATGGCCACTAATTATAGACCAGTGGCCAACATCCCATTTCTGGGCAAGATGTTGGAGCGGGTGGTGGCGGGACAACTCCAAGCACTCTTGGATGAAACTGATTATCTGAACCCATTTCAGTCTGGCTTCAGAGCCGAGTACAGTACTGAATCTGCCTTGGTCGCCCTGTACGATGACCTGTGCAGGGAGAAGGACAGGGGGAGTGCATCCCTGTTGGTTCTCCTGGACCTCTCGGCGGCTTTTGATACCATCGACCATGGTATCCTTCTGGATAGGCTTGCGCGATAGGGAGTTGGGGGCACTGCTTTGCAGTGGTTCCGCTCCTATCTCAATGGCCGATTCTAGAAGGTGATGCTGGGGGACTATGGCTCTGCGCCATGGCAGTTATGCCATGGAGTACCGCAGGGATCCATTTTGTCCCCCATGCTATTCAACATCTACATGAAACTGCTGGGAGAGGTCATCAGGAGGTGTGGGCTGTGGAATCATCAGTATGCTGATGATACCCAGCTCTACCTCTCGTTCTCTACCAATCCAGGTGAGGCAGTGGCTGTGCTGAACCGGTGCCTGGCTGAGGTAATGAGCTGGATGAGGGACGATAAACTGAAGCTCAATCCAGACAAGACAGAGGTCCTGTTGGTAGGCATATCGGACTTCGGGGAAGGGGACCTTGACCTTGTCCTGAATGAGGTTGCACCCCCTCTTAGGGACAAGGTCCGCAGCTTGGGAGTGCTCCTCGACCCAGAGCTTTCACTTGAAGCTCAGGTGACAGCGGTGGCGAGGAGCGCTTTCTTTCAGCTTCGGCTGATCCATCAGCTGCATCCCTACCTGGAGAACGACTGCCTGGCGACAGTGACACACGCGTTGGTAACTTCCCGACTAGACTTCTTCAATTAGCTCTACGTGGGGCTGCCCTTGAAGACAGTCTGGATACTTCAATTGGTTCAAAATAAAGCTGCCAGGCTGCTGACAGGGACTGGGCGTTATGTTCACATGACTCCAGTCCTCCGTCAGCTTCACTGGGACCCCATTGAAGTCTGGGCCCAATTCAAGGTGTTGGTTATTACCTATAAAGCCCTTAACGGCTTGGGTCCTGGTTACCTGAAGGAGCGCTTACGTCCATACATGCCTCCCCCCACCCCTTGAGATCAATGGGAGAGGCCCTTTTCCGGGAACCCTCCGTGAAGGATATTCGGAGGGTAAGTACTCGGAGGAGGGCTTTCTCTGCAGTGGCGTCCAATCTATGGAATGCGCTCCCCAGAGAGGTCAGCCTGGCGCCGTCGTTATTGTTTTTCGGTGCCAGGCCAAGACCTTTTTTTTAAAATGTCATTTTAATTGTTAGCTTTATTTATTGATTTTATATCTTCAGCCAGGATGTCTCCAATTATATTGTTTCTATATTGTTTCTATATGTTCAATATGTATTTATTTATTGTTGTAAGTTGCCCTGAGGCTTCAGCAAATAGGGCGGCATAGAAGCTCACTAAATAAATAAATAAATAAATAAATAAAAGCATTATCCTGTAGAAATGTTGCCTGGGGGGGCAAACACTCCTCCCATGTAAGCTTTTAACAGGTGAGGGGGGTTGTTTGTAGGTTTCTAAGCAATTGAGAAAGCTGCCACAGCTCTGTGACAAATCCACCTTACCAGTGTTTGTGGCACTCCTGATAAAGAATTCTGTTTAACTCAGAAGCTCATGTGTTCCTGCAGAAACTAATCCAAGATAAGACAACCTGGCAGTTCAGTGGGATGTAAATATACATAGGATAGATAGCCTGACACTTTTAAACAATTTTCAATTTCACTTTTAAACAATTTTCAAGAACCTCGCCAGACAATGATGAAAACTTTAGCTCCGTTTACTTTACTGAAACAGAGCATGCAAATTCTGGTGAGCACGTAGGGCAGCCAACAGGACCCGCAGGATCTCTCCCTTCCTCTCTCCCGGACGCGGGTTTGTGGCCAGGCGATTAGTTGTTTATTTAGCTGACGGGATTCGAAAAGGCACCTTCAACGGCCTCGCCAGCACTTCAGGGAAATTTCATGCAGACCAGACCCCTGGCGCAGGAGGGATTTTCCCAGGAAGGTTAGCATTCCCCCCGCGCCCCTTCCTATCTGCGTCCTTTCGCCCTTCAACGTACTTTTGTAACTAAAGGACATTAATAGCGCGATCCTGCACGTGCTTCCCGGAAAGCAACTCCTACCATGATCAATGGGTTATGCCGTCGAATATAATTGTACAGAGGGTGACAGCCTGCACGACGTCTACTCAGACGTACGCTCAGTAAGCCATACGCCCGGGTAAGTGGGCATCGGATTGCGCCGTACTGGAAGTGATCTGCGATGGCACGCCCACAGTGATTTTCCTAGCGCGCTGCATTTGTGTTTTAATAAGCCTGTGTTGAGATCCAGATAGAGAAGACGCTAGCTAGGACGATACAGAATCATAGAATAGCAGAGTTGGAAGGGGCCGAGAAGGCCATCGAGTCCAACCCCCTGCTGTTGCAGGACACCAAGTCACACCATCCCACTCAGATGACTTGAATGCCTCTAGTGTGGGAGAACTAAACACTTCTCCAGGCAGCTGAACGAAGGAACTGCTGAACTTACCCCATTCACCCAGCCACCCACCCCCTGGTAACTATCGCGAAAGCAGCCGGGTCATTTTTATCTGATTCCGTTTCCTGGGCATGATGGAACACTTTAGCTGATTTGCTGTTTTGTTTTTATTTATTTTTTCTTAAGTGACGTTATTTGTATTTGTCTTATTTCTCTTGAGCATCTTCCGCCCTGCTTGCATTGTGGGCGTTGTAGTTTAAACGCGCCTTTGCCCAAGGCCGTGCGTTGTAAGAACTACAGTTCCCAGTAGCGAGGGAGGGGCGGAGAGACCTTCCCTTTTTTGCATGTGCGATGAACGGAGGCGATTGCCTCCGTGCTGGAAGCTACACGGAGGCGCCTCATCCGTGCGGGGCTCCGCGAGCTCGTGCGCCGGAGCTCCGCGGGCGGCGGCGGGCCGGATTCTGCCCCTTGGGCGGCTGAGTCCCAGCGCAAAGGAGAGCGAGAGGTGAGGAGGAGCGGGGAGCGGCGCAGGCCTGCGGTAGAGCGGGACCCGCGGCTGTGAGAAGGGCAGATTGGCGTGCCACCAGGGCGAAGCGGGCGGAAGAGTGCTCTGCCCCGCAAGAGGCGATGCTCCAAGAAGGGGCGAAGGGACGGATGGCGCGGCCACCTGCGCCCGTGGCTTCGCCGCGCTTCACCGCAGCTGTTTGCTTGGCACGTTCGGGGGCTCCTGGTCAAAGCGCTCTGCCTGTGCGAGCGCTTCCAGCAGACGGCTGTGTTCTCCTGCTGTGTGGAAGTGATGGTACAAGGAATACGGGCGTGCATCTAATAAGGAAACTAGAGATCGGGATATGGGATAGTGAGACTTCGAACGAGTGAAACTTTTATCTCGCACGTTTGCCTATCTAGAATTAATTGTTTGAAAAGTTCCTGGCGTTCTTTCCTCAATAGAATGTGAAAGTGGCTAAGGGCAAGAAATAAAAACGAAATACAGTACAAGGAGATGGTTGTAATTGCTAAAACGTTAGGAATGGACACAGAATTCCGAAGCAGCTTTTAAAAACATCTTGTAGCAATGAAAACAGCTATGTGCAGCAAGTTCAAAAAGAGTGAGTGCAGGATTTAAAAATAATAAATGCTCCATAGTCTTCCATCTGGTGGAAAGCCCTTAAAGAGGACCTGGAATTGTGCTCTTCTACTGTACAATTCTAAGCATTCTCACTCAGACATAAAGCTAAGGGAGACATACTCTCAAATGAGGATGCTCAAGACTGTCGCTATGAACTGTTGAAGACCTATAATTCATAATAATATCTGCCAGACTCACAGGAGAGAGTGGACTCTGGTCTTGGAAAACTTATGCAATAATAAATGTGCTGGTCTTTAAGGTGATGTAGGATTTATACATAAATAAATGCAGCTACCTCTTTAGAAAGAATATCAAACACTGCTCTGCTGAAAAACAACAACCTGGTTTGCATGTTATGACAACCCAAGTTTTAAAAAAACAGCTATTTGTGAGCTAGTGAGAGAGGCTAGCACATGCTGCCCAATCCCGGGGAACAGCTTGACAACCCAGAGATGCTGTGTCCCTGGATTGTTTGGCATTGAATGTGAACCAGGAGCTTCAGCTTGTTAGAGGAAAGACTGTTCTGAGTTTGAATCCGGAGTTTCACGGTGGCTTGCTACAGAACTGACCATGGCTTTGACAAACACAATCCTTGACTTGTCATCTTGACACACAAACTAACTCTGCAATACTGTTGTCCTGATGAGTCTGTAAAGAGAAGGGAGACCATCCTGGTCCATGTAATGATTTTGGGCGACAGTGATTAAAAAATGGGGTCTGTGATGCTGCCCTGGTTCACACAACAAAACACAGCTCACTATATAACCCACAATGAGCCGCAGTACCTGCAGGTGCCACTTGCGTATCCAAGCCTTGCTCAAGAGTTGTGTTGTACAAGCCCAGTCAGCATGGGTTATGTGAGCATTCAGTAACCCTTGTTGAACCCTCACATAACTCACACTCACTGGGTTCATAGCACACTGAAAGCCCCAAGTGGCACCGCAGCATTGATTTGGATTAAATGTCATGCAAAGAGGCCTGTTGCCTTTTGTCAGATGAGGGGTAGCACTTGGATGAGCTGCTTGAAGTTGGCAGGGCAGAGGCTAGGAAAGTTGTCCCCTGGGCCAGAGCTGGACACTTCTGCTCTTCAGGGGATACTGTTGGGGTGCAGCTCTTGTACCCTGGTAGGTAATGATCAGGATAGGTTTGGCCTGCAATTCTGCTTGGTTCACCTGTGTGCAGATGTATATGTTTTATTATTAACCATTCCAGAGAGCTCTTTGGCTGATGACTGGTATACAGGTATTCTAAATAAATAAATTTCTAAGACCTAAACAGAATGGGAGTGTTGGTCTTTGACTGGGCAAAATTCACACCTGCCATGCGAGAGTGCATGTGCGTGCAGACCATCATGTGTGCATTCCTGGGCTTAATCACAGCAGAGCCACTTCTCATGAGCTGGGGTGCAGCCAGCCGACTGTTGCCTCTGAGTGATAACATGCCAGGGCAGCATGTGAACAGCTGCTTGGCTGGCTTTCTTTATATTTGGGTTGGTGACAAATGTCATTCTGGCCCTTGGAACTAGAATTCATATTAAGCAGTCAGCATATTTACGAGTCTTGCAAAATGAGTTGGGAGGCTAATGGCCGGTACAGAGTCTGTGAAGCATGCTTACTGAAACAGTTGCTGAAATACAGAGCATTTACAATGAAGGGCAAAAGAGAAAAACCAAATTATTATTTTTTAAAATCCAAATCCTAAAGGAGAAACTTTCAGAGGGACTGCAAGAAAATGACAGCTGGTTCAAAAGATCACAAAAGTGTGGTGTAGTGGTTAAGAGCATGGGACTGGGACTCAGACGATCTGAGTTCTAGTCCCCGCTCAGCCATGGAGCCAACTGGTGACTTTGGGCCAGTCACAGACTCTCAGCCCAACCTACCTCACAGGGCTCTTGTTGTGGGGATAAGATGGAGGAGGAGAATGATGTAAGCTGCCTTGAGCCCTTTGTAGGAAAAAGGCAGGATATAAATCGAATAAATAAATATTGAAGGAATGAAAGTGTAGGAGCTTCCATATTCTGGCTACTGCTGAAGATAAGGTCAGTTTTCCTTGTGCACAATTGTGCTTCTGATGGTTGCACAAACATCAGCTTCTTCTCTTGATTGTAGCAGATGGATAGGATCCTCCAGGAGGAGGTGATTGGCCCTTTTAGTCCAGTGGTGGGAAAAAGGTGGATCATCAGGTGATTTGGACTGCAACTCATAAAAGTCCTTGTGAACTTGGCCAGTGGGCAGGAATGCTGGGACCTGCGGGTCTCTTTCTGCTCACCCTGGATTTAGTCTCACGCTGTTATAAAGGCTTTAAAGCTAATGGCAGGTACTTTGAATTAGGGCCAGAAAAGAAGTGGCAGCCTGTACAGCTGATGCGAGAGAGGACTTGCCACACCTGGAAAAAAATTACGCTATCATCATGCCATAGGAGCTGCCAGCTTAGGGTCACCCTGCCCTGTCACCCTGCCCAGTTCTCAGACTAACATGCTGAGCAGTGCAGAACCATGATCCTCTTAGTAACTTGCAGGCATGCGAAAGCCAAACCTTTTAAATTTGTCAATCAACACTTGCAGTGGAAATGTTTTTCTTCTGGGTTCTTCTGGATCTTCTGGGTTCTTCCTGTTGACTGAAGAGTGCTGCCATGTGGTTTACTTACTGGGGCTTATTGTAGTGGAAGAAAAAGTCTCAAGAGCCATGCCACTGCTTGCTTACGTGAGTCGCTCACTGCCAGTGTTTCCAACAGCAAATGTGGTGCTGCCTTCCCATCCCCTCCCACAAGAGCTTCCTGAGTTCACAACTGTCCATGTGAGCCAGTGGAAATAGCCATTGCGTTATCTCCCAGCCAGTGGCTGTGCTGGCTAGTGATTCTGGGAGTTCTAGGCCAGGGCATCGGAAGAGCAGCAGATGGAGAAGGCTGCTATGCGATTGTTGATGATTATATTTCTGTGCCACCCAATAGCTGAAGCTCTTACTCCAGAGCAGATACCATAGGATTGTGCCAATGGGCACGTGATCTCAAAAAGAAGCGTATGGGAAATGTCCTACCTCACACACTTCATGTTGTAATTGTGTACTTGTTCAGACATGTTAGCCATTTAATGTGTAGCACTTTAAATGGGTTTAATACAGCTGTATGCCACGAGGTCATGGCTCCCTATATTGCAAGCCCATATTAGGTAGCATTTTTAATGGCAGCTACATGCTGTAGTTTCTCCTCATCAAGGATGCTGATGTGCAGTGTGTGAGTATGTGTGTCATAAAACGGGTTCACAATTTACAAAAAGGGGAATGACAGAATAAAGCTGGGCAAAGGTAGGCCTAAGGTATTTCCACGAAAATGAAAGAGTTGGGATTCAGGCATTCTTGTGCATAAGGCCACAAAAGTTACTTGTCTGCAATTACCTTTACAAGTTTTAATTAATAAACCAGTCTAAACCCACTTCATGTATTTATGCTACTTCAACCACCCAAAAAGAGGAAAAGTATCAACACCCAATTTATTTAAAAATTTAGAAGGCAACTCTCAGTGGTCACTTGGAGGCGCTTGTTTGTTGCCACAAGCGAGTAGAATTTTTAAATTTACAAGCCTAAATTAAAAGGTAAAGGTAAAGGTTTTCCCTTGATGTGAAGTCCAGTCATGCCTGACTCTAGCGGGCGGTGCTCATCTCCGTTTCCTAGCTGAGGGAGCCAGCGTTTGTCTGCAGACAGTCTCCGTGGTCGTGTGGCCGGCATGACTAAACACCGAGGTGCACGGAAAGCTGTTACCTGCCCACCGAAATGGTGCCTTTTTATCTATTTGCATTTGCATGCTTTTGAACTGCAAGGTTGGCAGGAGCTGGGACAGAGCAACGGGAACTCACCCCGTTGTGAAGATTCAAACCGGCAACCTTTCGATCAACCTGCCCAGCAGCACAGCAGTTTAAACCACTGCGCCACCTGCAGTCCCAAGTCTAAATTAGAGGTGGTTTATTTTTATCTTGAAATGTTGTCAGCAGCAGTACAGCCCCATATGTCTATTGTTCTTATGTCTTTTGAATTAAGAAATGGCTTAGCTGAAGTGTACCTTCTTAAGGCGAAAATATTCAGCTGCCAAGGCCTAATGAGAATCGGGTAAGTGGGCAATAATACTTAGCACATTTTTAACTGGTGCTAAAGCATAATGTGCCTTCCAAAATGAAGGTCGTATTGCTTCCTGAGACTGACTTGATGCACTTCAGTCTTTTGAAGCTAAGCAGGTCTAGACCTCAATAGTGCCTTGGATGGGAAGCTGTACATCTCAGGTGTGCTCTTGGAGCTCCTTGAAGGAAGAACAGGATATAAATGTAATAGGTGCTGGAACAGCCCAAGAAACAAAGCCCAAATAATAGGATGCTCAAAAGCCCCATAACAGAGCTGACTGGCTGTAGAACTTCATTTCTGCAGAAGATTGTATCCTAACTGTATTTTAAGATGGATTTCAGCTTTAAAGTACGTTTGGCTTCACATACTGTGAAGGTAACGTGAAGTAATCTAAAAAAGAAAAATGTTATTGCATCCGACTTATGAAATATTTATGCACCCCTAATTAGTGAATAGGAGATGTTTCCCATACATTTACAGTAAATCACAGAAGTGAGTACACCCCTCACATTTTGTAAGTATTTTATTATATCTTTTCATGTGACAACCCTGAAGAAATGACACTTGGTTACAGTGTAAAGTAGTGAGTATACAGCTTGTATAACAGTGTAAATTTGCTGTCCCCTCAAAATAACGCAACATACAGCCATTAAAAGATATAATAAAATATTTACAAAATGTGAGGGGTGTACTCACATCTGTGATATACTGTAGTTACCGCAAGAATTCATACCAGAAGCCTCTGAATGGAGAGCTCGGCATTCTGCTAACTACCTACCCTTTTGTAATCTCCTTCCAACCCTGTAGGCAGTTCAGTTTTTTCTGCTTTGTTGGCAGTTTTGTAGAGCAGTATATCTGTTGTCTGTTTGGACATCATTATAGTGGATTAGGGTACTTTTTCTGTGATGGTTTTATGATGCTGTGTTCTGCCAGTGGAGAGGGATGTCTCAGCAATGCTAAGAACTGGGCTTAAAAGGACAGCCCTGCTGGGCGTACAAAGCAAGCATGGAAAGACTTGCTTATTAACAGAAGAGTTGTTCAGTCTAACCACAAATCTATGAAATTCCACATGTTTGGATTTAAAGGGGTGTGGGCTGCAATTAGTGGGATTTGTCTTTGATGAGATGCAGATAAGGTTTGCACTGTTAGTTTGATTGGGCAACCAAAAATAAACCGAGCTTAACAGGTTTGTGGGTGGCCCTATCAATCAGCAGAAGAAGCATCCTTTTTTGCTTTTTAGGTACGAGTAATTTCTGTATATGACAGGAATGTTTTTCCCCATATAATTCCACAAAATTTAAAGGTTGAACACAATGTTTATTAAAATATTAAAATCAGTTTAGTAGCACCTAAAAAACGTATGGTGTTGTAAAACACTAACAGCATAATTATACACAATTTAGGCAGAAAAATGGCCTATGGTTCCTAGCTTGCTGAGAGTTGGAGGCCTTTTTTCTGTCTAAATTTGCATAGCATTGTGCATTAAAGCAACAACAGCAAGCCCGGCAAGATTAAACAGCTTGTATGACTGCTCTTTAGAAGGCAAGATACTGAAGATGAAACTCAAATACTTTGGCCACCTAATGAGAAGGAAGGACTCCCTGGAGAAGAGCCTAATGCTGGGAACAATAGATGGCAAAAGAAGAAGGGGATGGCAGAGAATGAGGTGGCTAGATGGAGTCACTGAAGCAGTTGGTGTGAGCTTGGGTGGACTCTGGGGGATGGTGGAGGACAGGAAGGCCTGGAAGAGTGTTGTCCATGGGGTCGCGATGGGTCGGACATGACCTTGTGACTAACAACAACAACATTGCTACCAAAAGCACAGAAAAATGGCACCTTTACCTGGCATCTCAATGGTACCCCTATAGTGCCAAAGTGAATATTGTTGGAAACACACAGAAAGGGCCTTGTCTGTGGTCTTCATCTGCCTCACCTGTGCTGGGAGACCAACTCCCAGGCTGCACGGAGCTCAAGACCTGTCACCCAAAACCCAAAGCAGGAGCGAGTGCAGGCCTTCAGAGCCTGGAAAACTGCCCTGTGTGGAAACAGACCATTTGTCCATAGAGCCCAGCACTGCCTGCACGGACCGGTAGCAGCTCTGCAGTGTTTCAGATGGTGCTGAGCCTGGAACCCTCTGCTCGTTTCGGTATTGGCGTAATTGCGTTGTTTGCCCTGAGTCCCCATGGGAGCCTCACCACCACCTTTCCATCATTGCTATTCTTATTAACGGTATTTTTATAATGGAAACATAGAAACAAAGTGAGTCAGAAGGGGCCTCCCAGGCCATCTCGTCTGCCCCCCAGCTCCTACCGGCTCTGCTTATGTGATCCCCGACATGTGGTTGTCCAGTCTTTCCTTGAACACCCTCACCAATGGGGCTCAACCACCTCCCTTCGAAGCCCATTCCATATCCTGCCTTTCCCCCCTGTTGCAAGGAACCCAAGGTGGCCCTCCTCTTTTCCATATAACCTCACAACCAGCCTGCCAGGTAGACCAGCATGTGAGTCAGTGACTGGCCCAGAGTCATCCAATGAGCTCCATAGCTGACTGGGGACTAGATTCCGGGTCTCCTGAACCCCAGTCCAGCACTCTAACCACTACAACATACTGTCTCTACATTTGAAATGGCTGGCATTTCTAAGCAGGCAGAAATGCCATGCATTAGAGCCAAAATGGGCATTATTTTAAATGTATGGCTAGCAACTACATGTCTTTATCATTTTTTTTACTCTAGAGTAGGTATAATCTAGATTGGGACCTAGTGTGGAGATAAGGGGTGCATTGATTGATTGATTGATTGATTGGATTCTTATCCTGCCTCATTATCCAAGGAGGGTCCCTAAGCAGGTCACAAGATCATAAAATACACAGTAAAAAGTGATATTAAAATTAACAAATGATACAAAAAAGTAATCCAGAAACAAAAAACCAAGTACCATCATAAAACTTCACAAAACCTTTAGTTTTTTTTTCCCAACAGAGACATAATAAAAGGCACTTCGGCAAACTATAAAAGAAGATATCAGGTATTAAAAACCACTGAAATGTTCATAACAATTTACAGTATTAGGTAGATAAAAGTTCTTCCCCTGGCACCAGAAAGAATAAAGAGAAGGCACCAAGTGAACTGCTCTGAGGAGCTAATTCCAGAGTTGGGGTGCCATTACCAAGAAGGCCCTTCTGCTTGTAGCCACCTTCTGTGTTTCCCTAGGAGAGGACTTCTGGAGAAGGACCACCAGTGATGATCTAAGGGGCTTTTAAGATTTTGACTAGGTAGCTTGTAGAGTAAAAACTAAAAAGACATTGCAGCCAGACACATAATGAAAGAAATAGTGAGAAAAATTCTTGTGAGTACTCTAACCTGGACAGGATTAGACCTGGGGTAACTGCAGCAGCTCTCACCATCAATGGCTTGTTGAAGCTACCAGTAGTTACTGGTCATTGCGTGTCTTTGTATATTGGCTAGAGCATTGGGTTTGTATGTGGTGTGAGCCAGGCTTGTGACCTTAAGTGGTTTCTTATCTGCATGCGTCCCATAAGGTTGTTGTGCAATTCAAGAAAACTGCCTTCTGAGCTCTTTGGAGCGAAGGCAGGGGACAGGATGAGACCAATTTACCTTCATGCATTTCCTCAGAACACAGCAGTCCAGCTGAATACACTGTCACATCACTGTGCTCCTCGGCTCCTTTGAAGTGCAGCTCTGGCAGGCCTTAAAGCATTCCACCTAAACGGCTCCATGTACAAACAAGCAGCAGGTTCCTTAAAGGATGTTGAAGCAGCCAGGGGAGGCCAGGCAGGTTTTTTGGTCTGGAGTTGTCTCTGCCAAACTGAAGTAAGCAAATTCCTAGTCAGATGACTGAAGGTATTTAGCTTATAAGATTCCCACCAGGAAGCCTGATGTGATGCCAAACGCTCGTCGTTTTCTTCAGGCACGTGCGCTGGAGACCTTATGCAACAAAGGGACCGAGGGGCTAAACCCAGAGCGTCTTCTGTGCTGTGGGCTCCTCTGGAAAGACCCACATCCTCTGCAGAGTGACCACGGCGAGACGGGGGAGCCATGGCTGCTGAGGCTGAAACCCCGGAGGAGCACCCCCCCGATCCTCCCCCAGACTCACGCTGGAAACTCCTTGTCTTCTACCTCTGCTTCTATGGCTTCATGAGCCAAATCAAACCTGGTGAGAGCTTCATCACCCCTTACCTGTTGGGAACAGAGAAGAACTTCTCCAAGGAACAGGTGAGCACATCTGCCGGTTCAGCAAGCAGGGGGAAGTTGCAGGGGGTTGCCGCTGCCAGTCCCACTATGATTGGGATTATTTCCGAGCAACCAACTCTGGGAGTTGTCTGGAGGACATCAGACTGGAGAATGGCATGCCTGACCCCTCTGTCCTGCCGCTCCTCTCAGGTTGGCCCTTAGAGTACAGGTGACTTGCCCAGGTGGGGGGAATGGAGGGCTGGGCTGTGTGCAAGGTCATAGGCCTCCTGTTGCAAGCAAGGACCTGCCTGCACCTGCCCAACAGCCAGCGAATGGGAGGGGGTCCCCTGAGCCTGCACCAGCCCACTCCCATATATAGGTCAGCATCTGTCAGTAAGAGGGAATGGATCGCACTCCATATTATTAGTAGAGTAATGCGAACGATTCAGAGATATCTTGCAGTTTGGCAGTCCTGTTGGGTGAGCTGCCCCATTTTCAGTGAAACTGAAACAAAGCCAACAAGAACCTGAGCCTGGATCTGCAGGCTGCGTGTTGCCTTGGCAAGCTGAGATGCAAACTCAAACTGAACCTTTGAGGAAGTGAGTTGTTTGGTGTTGCAATAAGCCTGAAAATCGTGTGCCCACAGCGAAGTGCCACAGCAAGATTTTCTGCCTTGCACCTGAAGAATGTGACATGTTTTTGTGCTTTGGCTATACTGTGGAGCACATTTTTAAAAATCTGCAGAATGAGGATCAGTTGTTGCTCCACCTTCAATGGTGTTTTTATCCATCCACACTTCTGTACCCTCGGCCCCCCCACCCAGTCCTGGTTTCTTGGTCTTTGCTCCATTGTCCTGCTTGCTTTGAATCTAGTGCCTTGGGGGGCATTAGGAATGCAGGCAAGATCCTTGAAATGGGGACAGAGCTTTTCCTCCTGTTCAGTGAGGACCTCCGGTAAGATCATAAACCCTAGGGACCTGCACTGCTCTATTTGAAGTGTGGATCTATGGAGCCCAGGGCAGTGCTGATTCTCATAAATCCAGTGAAATGCCTTACCAGGTTATTTAATTTTTACTGGGGTAATTCAGCTGCAAAACTAAGCCACCTTTTTGGCATGACAGGCATGAGTTTATTTATTCATTTATTTATAACATTTGTATGCGGCCCAGTGGTGCCACAGCACCTCTGTTGCCTTCTCTCATCACTTGAGTAGAGATGCCCTACCTCATTTCCTGGTTTCATTCATACAGTTTCATCCAGACCTGCAAACTAGTTTCAGTCCCTGGTTTGCAAGATGAATGCAAATCATGGCATGATCTTGGACTAAATGGCTAACTGCATTTTTCTCAAATCAGAACAGCAGGCAGAGACTTGCTGTGCACAAGAGGAGGAGGAGGCCGGCCTGAGTTCATTGCTCCTGAGTGCTCACAGAAAGCCACACTGTAGTTTGCCAACATGTCCAAGCTGCTATTCTGTCTAGGCTTGTTTACTTTCATCATGCAATAAAGCTGCACATTTCATGGTATGCAAGTAGCTACTCTTACATGGAAGTAATCCTTTGGGAGGGGGCTTTGTGTTAACCAGGGTGTCTCTTTCAGATAACAAGATGTTGTTTATTTGTCACTTCCAATAAAAAGCAGTTGAGCTCAGTCCAGGATTCATGAATAGAACCCAACTTATTTGGGACTTTGGCACAATTTCGGGGAAAGGGGTCAGTAGCGAGGAAGTAAACATTTCAGCTTCAAGAGATGGGGCACTGCCAGTCTTGCTATGGTGACTTCCGCAGCTTAGCCGAGGGGGGTTTATTCTGCTCAGTTACAATTAAAATAGTTCATTTTGGGGGCAGAAAGGGCTACAGGAGGATTGTGCATTCTGTACATATGTGTGTGCAAGAGAGAGAGATTTGGGATATGACTGTCAAGGGAAAGAGCTACAGATTTGAAGTAGTAAGTCCAGAACAAGGACTCAAATTAAGTAGTTAGTCTTGATTAAAATGTTTTTGTGTTTACCAAGCAAGCTACTAAATCAGAATTGCCAGTATTATAAGGGCCTTATCCTGAAACAATTTCCTTGGTAATAGAAATAAAGAAAATACCATTTTTATCTGAAATTAGGAGATATTGATTGATTATACTAGTTACTTTCTGTAGTTTCAGTTTGTTCCAAGTAGTGGAGTTTGTTTGTGTGTTGGGTGGGGGGTGTGATTCATTTGGATATTGTATAGATTTAACAGAAAATGTTGCCTAGCAGTCACTCTGTATAACCAGCAGCACAACCCTACATATGTTTACTGTCAGAAATAAGCTCCATGGAATTCAGAGCAGCCCATTATATAGAGCAATGGGGCTTACTTCTGAGGAGGCACTCATAGGATTGCACTGCATGGGTAGGATGTTTCAGTGGAGGAGATAGCAACTCATCTGCATCTCTGCATCTCTCCCGTAGTAATCTGTGGGGCCTCGGATCATGCCCCAATACACTAGAAGAACCACTGAGTCTAATTTTTTTTTTTTAACATTTTTATGCCGCCCCATTCGCCGAAGCCTCGGGGCGGCTTACAACAATAAATTACAATAAATATAAACATTAAAAATCCAAAAAATACAATATAAAATAAGCCGCCCTGGCCAGATAAGATCAAATAATACTAACAGTTAAAATGCCGCTTAAATAAAAAGGTCTTCGCCTGGCGCCAAAAAGCAAATAATGACAGTGCCAGGCGGACCTCTCTGGGGAGCGCATTCCATAACTTAGGCGCCACCGCAGAGAAAGCCCTCCTCCGAGTACCCACCCTCCTAATTTCTTTCACGGAGGGTTCCCGGAGAAGGGCCTCTCCCGCTGATCTCAAGGGGCGGCTGGGCATATATGGATGTAAGCACTCCTTCAGGTAACTCTAATTCCATAGAGCAAGTAGAAGTACGAATCATGTTCAGGGCAGCTTGAAACTCCACGGTGTGATTCAGTAAAATACTTGATTCTATTCCAGTATTTATCAGTTTTAGTGCAGGCATTGTTTGATCTTCCTACTGGAGGTCTAATGGTTTAAAAAGTTACAAATTTAAGTAATTTTTAATTTTAAAACTTGTGGTACTAAGTAAACAAATGTACATTTTTTTCTAAAGAGTTCTAAAAATGTTTTCAACTGAATAACCACTCAACTGGGCAACATACCCCTTGTTTAAGAACTGGCAATTTTAACAAATGCTACATCGATTTCTCTGTTTACTGACTTTAAAAAGAGAGCAGACTATATTATTCCATTTTAGTGAATTCTAAACTGCTGACAAGAAAATAAGCTGGGATTCTGCGGCAGAAGAGCTGAGCTAACTCTGCTTTGCTTTCCAGTTGGTTTAGATTTAAACCTTTGACCTCTCACTTTAGTTATGAGTAATTTATATTTTCTCTCTTGCTCTTCCCCAGAGGTCATGCTGGGATAGAGACAGCGCTTGTTCTTTGGGGCAAAACTGGTTGCACACGGGCCTAGCAGAGGTGATCCCTTGTCTGCCTTCCAGCTCTGCTCTTTGGAAGGGGCAAAGTTCGGATTCTTCAGTGTGCTGGTGATTGCATTAGCAGCTCCTTGGTGTGCACAGTGCAAAGCAGGAAAATCCTTTTTACAGAATGGTTGCAGAAGCTCTTTACATCCATATTTAGTCTTTTCAGTGTCTGGTCGAGCGGGAATCTCTGGGTCAAACAGTCCATTAACTGGGTTAGCATCCGTGCCCTTGATAGGGCTGCTGTGTTGTTTGCTAACCATTCTGACTACGTGTCCTTGCCAGGTTCTGTCGTGCCAAGCTGTGCTCGGTGAGGGTAATTAGGGAACTGGGGCGGCACACCCCTGGCATGTCCAAAGAGGGTGAACTAGCCACTAGCCACTGTGGGTTATCCACTGCTCTCGTGTCAGGCAAACTGGACTGTTAGATTAATGGCTTAGTAGTAGCTGGGCCTTGCATTTTGCTTTACTTGGGAATAACTGTATATGGACCTGTTTCATACCCGGACCCATTAGAAAGGGAAGATCCAACCTTCTTTCCATCCCATTTGCTTCCAGAAATTCCCACGGCCACCATAATCATGGAAATTACAGTCTGCTTTGGTGTAAACAGAGAGGCTTCTTTTTCTCCTCACTTGGTGGGGGACAGATGCTGTGAAGCAGGAAGTGCCTGTCCTCCCCCGTCCCTCCCACTGATCGAGAACCTGGTGGACTCTTTTCTATTCCAGTCCAAAGACAGAGGCCACAGCTTCCCCACAGGGCTGCTTTTGCGAAGCTAAAGTGGAGCTATGCAAGCCCATCTTGCCTTCCTCACAAGAGGAAAAATGGTGGGACATCAAAGCAATGTAACAATAATCATATTAGGAAAGGGATAGGATATGGAATCTAATCAGTGGCTTAAGCCCACCTTCCTTAACATATTTTGGACTTCAGTTCCCATCATCCCCAGCCAGTATAGTCAGAGATCCTGGCAGCTAAAGCCCAAAACATCCAGGGGGCCCCTTAAGATGTTTTGTAAGGCAAGGAATAAAAGGTGGGAAGCACGGTTCTGACGGAGGCTGGTGGCCACCAGTCTCCTCCTGCTGTCTGGGGACTCCATGGCCCCTGAGCCCTGAGACCATCCCCATCAGGAAGAGTCCCTGAAGAGGGGCCCCTGCCCTGTGCTCGGCCCCCCAGAGAACAGAGGAGCGGGCCCTCCACCTGCGTCCTTCATGCAGCGCGCCAGAGGCTTCCGTTGCTCGTAATTTGCAAGCCCTCCTCTATTATCAAAGCGTCTTGCCTTTTCCCTCTTCCTTGGTGGCCTCCTGCTGTTGCGCGCTGCTTCTCTTTGACCTTCTCCTCTCATCCGCTGAGCAGGGCTGTCACATTCAGGTTCTGAAAGGCTTCCTGCATCAGTTGGAGAACTGCCCCAGACACGGCTTATAAGTCAGCCTGGGTTTGGCTACTGCCTGGGTGGAGGCCGTCTGAAAGCGCCAGTGGTCATGCTCACTGAGGATGATGGGTGCTGTAGTTCAGCACAGCCTGAGGACCCCAGTTTGGGGAAAGGCTGTTGCAAAGCTTTGCAGCCCTCTCAGGATCTAGCAGTATGGTGGAATTTGGTCAGAAGTCGATGGCTGCTCTTGTGATTCATCCGTGCGCTGTAAAAGGAGGGCTGCTCTGCAAGCTTTCAGGTCTGTTTTATTGAGACGATCAAGCATTTTATTTTAAAATGGGGTTGTGAGTTTTCCTTTTCCTTTTCCAGCTTTCAGACCAATTTTAATTTTGGACAGTAATCTTTCTTTGCAAATGTAAAGAGAAAGCTGCGCAGTCAAGATTTTGGTAGCAGCTGGGGAGCAGAGGAAACCCTTGAATATCCCTTGTTGCCCCCCAGGTGTTTTGTCCTGCAATTCCCATCAGCCCTAGCTGGCCTAACCAGTGGTGAGGGATGATGGAAGTTGTAGGCAAAGGCATCTGAAATTGCTCACTGCTGCCTTACAACCGTGGTCCTTTTTGATTGCTTATCAGTGAAAGTGAATTTAACTTGTCCCCCTAATGTGCTGGCTGCCCCCCACCCCCCCCGGTGGGCAAAGCTTTCTGTCCCTGGCCCGAGCTGCTCTGTTGGCCAAGGATCAGCATGTCCTGCTGCACTGTTTCCATGGCTAAAGCAGCAGATCAACAGAGGATGGAGGGAGGCTTAGCTGACCTGCTTGGCCAGAGGTGCCGGTTCCAGGATGGGGCTGGAGGGAGACTGCTGGGGGCAAGCACAAGGAGTCCAAGGCAGTTGCCGTGTTTTGAGAAGGCCAGATCTTTGCAATTAAGTAGCCGTGAGCAGCAGGTGGCTATTTTAAAAGCAAAAGCACTGTGGAACATTCTGTGAGCTTCCTGCAGTGAGTTGCCTTGCGGCTCTTGCCTCCCACAAAGCATCCCAGAGCAAAATGTGGGTTTTACTAGGTCTGGCTCTTCCAGGCCCTGCTGGGGGATCCTCAGTGCTCTGCAAAGTGACCTGAAAGATAAACAGTCACAGCGGCTTCTTATGGGTCCCCTCAAACTCTTCACCCGATACTTATTTGGCCGCTTCCTTGTCCTTGAAGAAGGCGACTCTGCGGGGTTCTGGTTTTCTGAGTTCATTACAGTGGGTGCCTGCCTAATTATTGTTGGTGCCCACACTCACCCATCTCCAAGATAATCCTAGAAGTCGTGTCCTCTTCGGAGAGGGGCCATAACCCAGTGGTAGAGTAGAAAGACTCAGGTTCAATCCCCTGCGTCTCCAGGTAGGGCTAGGAAACCTCCTGCCTGAAATCTGGGGAGCTGCTGCTGCCAGTCAGTGCTGGCAGTACTGGGCTAGACGAAACTGTTTTGACTCAGTGTCCTAGGTCCTTCTTCACCAAGAAGGTAATAGGAAATGGATGCAGATGTGAGCATTCCCTGGAGCGATGTACCTGCTTGGTGCCGTATGGCTGGCTTGATAATCTGGTCTCTGTTGCAAGTCACTAAAAATCCAGTAAAATGTATGGTCATGGCTGTTGGAAGAGGGAATGCAGGTTCTACTTACCGTGGGTTGATGAAAAATGCCTTTTTAATAAGGTGTGGTGATCTGGTGCCTGCGGGCAACTCCATGTGAGTCCTGGTGCAAGAGAACCCACTGGTGCTGGCTGCCAACACTGAGAGTAAAATAAGGCCAATTTCCTTAGTCCTTAAGCACTTTTGATCCCTTGGGAACAACTGGCCAAGGATCCCACTGGGGATGTTGGGATGTTTGCAGCCTGTCTGTATCCTTAGCATGTTGGGTGCAACGTGGGTGTTGAAACAGTGTAGTGTGGCTCAGAGATGTGGTGTGCACCTTCTCAACCCCTTCCCTTTCACCCCTAAAGCTCTCAGTCTTCATTTTTGTGGCAAAAGAGGAAACAGTTTATCAAAGATTCAGAAGAAAGTACAGAATGGGAAGATGGGCCAGATTCTGGGCATATAACAATGAGTGGTTTTAAAGTGGCAGAGAGCAAACAAAAAAAGGAAAAATATACTCTCACTAGCACCACCTGGTCCCTTGAAGGCCAGCTGTGTCTATGACAAGGTTCTCCCAGTGCCTGTACCAGCTCTTTTCCCCTTTGCTTAGGGAAAAATTACCCCTGGGCACCTGAACTGGAGAAACCTTGGGGCAATCTCTCTTGGTGCTGTGAAGAGAAAGCCGAACTTTTTTTTTCTGAGTGGGGTGTGTCTCTTCAGCCCTCCCCCCCCCCCACCACCACCTTGATGGAGATTCTAGAAGAATTTCTTGATTTGTGTGTGCTGACTGTCTAGTCCTGGATCATCCCCAGCTCTGAGAAGGACTTGAAAAGATTTTTTCATTCTTTCATCTGGACAGTTTCCTGTTGGCCTGCCCAGCCAAGTCATCTGCCATGCAGTGCCAGCATCAGATGACCTGGCCTTTGGTTCAAGCAGAGCCCTGCACCTGCTTGAAAAGGGGAGGTTTCTGCAGGGTGGATTTGATTTAAATGAAATCAGTTGAAATCACAGTTGAAATCACTAGTCAGTAACACTAGATTTATATGATGGTTTTCTACATAATTTGCATGCATGTCTGCTTTACCCATTAAAACTTCATTAAAATATTCCTAAATTGGGTCTTTCTTAATGGTCTGCTGCCTTTCTAGATTTTCTTTTCCTGGGAAAGAATAATATGATGAACCTCAGGCTATACACAAAAAGATCCACAGACTTGTGCTCAAAAGGTTTCACTTTCATTTCTACTGCTTGCCCCTCCCTTCTCACATTTAGCTTCTTGTACAGATCTATTCTACTCAAATTCTTTTATTCATTGAATTTTTTGAAACTTAGCACTTAAGAGGTAAGGGTTTAATTCTGTGTACATAGATTTGCAAAGGAATAATGGGATTAAGGTCTTTTTCTCAACTCTGTATGTTTCTTTTATGACATTTTTGTTTTGAAGAAGGGCATGTGTTCTCTGCAGACACAAATTCAGTTTGAGAACTCTAAAACCAAGCATCTGTGATAATATCTTCTAGACAGAAAAAAATGCCTAATAACCTGCCCCCAAGTTTATGTGGAGGGTTTAGACACACTGGTATCCAATCCCAGCTACTTCAGTAATTTGATTTCTCCTTTGATGTCTATGAAGAGCTTTCTATTTTGTGCTTAGGGACATTTTAAACGTATTTTCTCTGTGTGAATCACGATTTAACTTATCCAGATACTGAGATTAGTGTGTGTGTGTGTGTGTGTGTGTGTGTGTGTGTGTGTGTGTGTGAGAGAGAGAGAGAGAGAGAGAGAGAGAGAGAGAGAGAGAGAGAGAGAGGGAGAGCGCGCGCGAACATCTGCAAGTTTCTTTTTTTCCAGCCACTCCATTCTATTCCTCCTCACATCTGGTTATCCATTTTGTTGCTACTTACCCAAGGAACTAGCTGAGCTGTCGAGGAGGGGATGTAACCCCTTAGGGGAATTTCTCTAAAGACTTTTCACAAGACTGGACATCTTTGGGTTACCCAGAGTCTGCTCATACTTACAGCTGGTCTGTTGTAAAGATTCAAAAATTCAAATCTGGGAAGATTCAAGTCTATATTGGTATCTATGATCATGCTAAGGGTCTCCTGTTGTTCACCTGCTTCCCATGGGGGAACGTGGGAAGGAACTCCTAAATCCGTGGCTGTGTGTTGGTGGAGGAGGAAGGCCTGGGGATATGGGTGAGCAGGTGACACCCTTAATATCTGTCATAGGAGGAATTCTGTATCCCTTCTCTAATTCTACTCCCAGCATGGATTTAGGCTTGGGAGAAAGGGATGCACAGTTTCTCAAGGCTCCCGGTCATATTGGGCCTTGCAGTTGGCATGATTTTCTCTTTCAGGTCACCAATGAAATCATCCCCGTGCTTTCCTACTCGTACATGGCAGTGCTGGTGCCCATCTTCCTCCTGACGGACTATTTGCGATACACGCCGGTGCTGCTGCTTCAGAGCATCAGCCACATCTCCATCTGGCTGCTGCTGATCTTCGGGACCAGCATCCTTGCCATGCAGTTCATGGAGTTCTTCTACGGGGTCACGCTGGCTGCTCGGGTGGCCTACTCCTCCTACATCTTCTCCCTCGTCACCCCGTCACGCTACCAGCGCATGGCCAGCTACTCGCGCTCCGCGGTGCTGATGGGGGTCTTCATCAGCTCCACGTTGGGGCAGCTCTGCGTCACCGTTGGGGGTGTCACCTTCACAACCCTGAATTACGTCTCCCTGGGCTTCATGTGCTTCGGGCTCATCCTGACTTTCTTCTTGCAGCGCCCCAAGCACAGCCTCTTCTTCAACAGGCGTGAGCCCGTGTGCAACGGGACCTCGCCTGCTGAGCTGGACAGAATGAACCCGGGGACCCCTGGGGAGCCAGGATGGCACAGGCAGGCCTCCGCGTGGAAGAACCTCGTCCTTTTCCGGATGTTGAAGGAGCTGGCTCACATCATACGGGTGCCGCAGCTGAGGCTCTGGTCTCTCTGGTGGATATTCAACTCCGCTGGCTACTACCTGATGGTGTACTATGTGCAGATTTTATGGAAGGAGGTTGACCCCACCAGCGATTACAGGAAAGTCTACAATGGAGGTGTGGAAGCTGCTTCTACGCTTCTCGGTATGCACATCTTCTCCCTGCTCCATTTCTGTGCTTAATGTGTGTGCATCTCTCTCTCTTTCAGTGTGTGTGCGCTTTGTTGTGACTCAAGCATGAAATGGAGGTGAGCCCTCCTGGCAACCCAGTGGACTCTTCCGGGGCACTGACTTAAGCACCTTCTGTTGAAACCACTTGGACTTAGAGGTGTTCAGCTGCTCACCGCAGTTCTCGCGCACTGCACCCCAGGAGCTTCCCTGCATGGAGAACTTCATGTGTGACTCATGTGGGGCGCGTGTGAAATGATTCCCATTGCTGCAGTAGCTGGAGGATGGGCTGTCATAATTATGGCAGTCACTGGGAAGTGATGGGGTAGCTTGAGCCGTGTGTTGACCATGGAAACTTGGACGGCAACATGGCCTGAGTGGCAAGGCCACACAGAAGGAGCACATTTTTGTGGTCTGCGCGCTCTAGCCCGTTCAGATGCTTCTCATTTACGGATGATGTCAAATGCTACCATCCCCTGCTGGTACCCAGGGGACACCCGGTGGCTCGTTGACAAGGCATAAAATCATGGAGCTGGTTGGGTAGACCTGCCACCTGCCCAGTGCAGGGTGCAGCTGTAGCATCCCTGATCACCATCCAGCCTCTGTTGAGAGGCCTCCACAGAGAAGGAGTGGGAGAGAGCTCAGTGGCAGGCACACATTCTGCTTGCAAAGGTCTTGTTGTGGTCCCTGGCATCCGTGGCCAGAAGAGCGGAGCAGGGAAGCCCACTGGCATCCGGAGTGGGGACTCCTGAGAGAAGACACACCAGTGGCTGGCTGGCTTTATCAGCCAACTTTCTGGGGAAGATGAGCACTGGGCTACTCCGGAGAGGCCCTTTCAGGATTGCACAAAGCAGTTTCCCAACTGGCAGGCACGTTTTGCTGCAATCGTAACATCCTCTTAATTTATTTTACTCTGTTTCCACCCTTGGTAAGGAAGTTTGGCTTGCATCATTCCACAGATCAGTCTTGAACTGTAGCATATGCCTTGTTTTCATTTTATCTCTGCTGCAAAAAGGTGGTGCCTGCGAGAATAAGTCTACAAAGTCCTTAAAGTGAGCCTCTCACCACTGGGCCCAGAGTGACCTGATTGCTCAAAAGTTTCCAAAGGGCTGCCTTATTTTATTATTTATTTAAAACTTTTGTATGCTGTCCCTTATGCATGGCATCTCGGGACAGCTTACAGTCATTAAAACAACAACAGTAAAACAGCAATAAACGACAGTTAACCAAAAAATACAATTAAATAAGCTAAATAAAATAAAATTGTATAAATATTTTATTTAAATGCATTAAATAAAACATGCCTTGAGACATGTTCTTTCCTGTTGCCGCGGAGCTGCATTTCACAGGATCTGGATGCCACCAAGTCTGGTATCTGCCCTAAGCTTGTCTCGTCTTTCTTTGACTTCCTTATAGTATAATTTTAGCCAACCTAATTGTCAACATTTAATGCCCCCTTGGAAAAGTTCTGCTGCAGAAACTGGAGGGCTGGTGTTGTCCTGTCTGGGTAATGCTGGGTACTCTGTTGCAGGTGCCATCACCTCCTTTTCTGCTGGCTACGTGAAGATCCGTTGGAAGTTGTGGTCTGAGCTGGTGATTGCTGTGGCGACAGCATTCCAGGCAGGCCTGCTTTTGCTGATGAACACAACCACCGATATCTGGGTGTGCTATGTGAGCTATGTCCTTTTCAGGGGCTCCTACCAGTTTCTTGTGCCTATAGCCATGTGAGTGTTAATGATCGGCTTCCATGACATACGCAAGGTCCCACCAGACTCTCAGCAGATTTGGAAACAGACTGTATGCCTCACTATTTCAGCAGGGGGAAAGGGGTTGTCTGATGTCTGCCATACAGTGATCTATACCAATGCAAAGGATAGGACTTCCTACTACCGCAGCTTTCCTTGAAAGAATAAAAAAGTGGGATATAAATCTAATAAATAAATCAATAAAGGAGGTGTTTGTCCTGACAACATGTAATCTTTTTTTTTTTTTTGTAAGGATGCCAGAACTGAGAGGAACAGCTAACTGACTGGCTCCATGGCAGATGTGTCACTGTAGGCTTTTAATCTTTTAATAAGTTAGAAAAATGTGTTGGCTGTGAATACTTGGAATGGTATGAACTAATCTGTTGGAAATTCCAGAGGGTTGGGGATAGAGACTGGAGTTTTAGCCGAACACAAAGAAGTGGGTCAGGTGGTTTTTTCTATACTCTTCCAGGCCAACAGCTAAATGCATTTTCCCCTGAAATATGTTTACCTTGTGATGGTAAAGCTCATTTCTTCAAAACCTTCCCCCCACATCTGACCTACTTCCAAGCTGGTTTCTAAGCCCAACACATAATTACTTGTGCTGGTTGCATTGCTGCAACCCAGCCTTCCTCAGCCTGGTGGCTTCCAGCTGAATTGGACAATTCTCATGACCTGGCTGGGGATGATATGCTTTATAGCCCAACTTGTCCACAGGATACAGGGTTAGGGTAAGCTGCTGGAGCACCTTCATGCTTCAGTGTGCAAAGCTCTCCAGCAGCTGCAAGGCAGAGCTGCTTCAGGGTGCCAGCTGAGATGCTGGTCCATACCTTGAATCCTGCCTTATGCCCTTGGTACCTCTCTGGGCTTGCCAGCAGAATTGACTTGCCTTTCTCTCTTTGGCCTGAAGTTTCCAGATTGCTGCTTCCTTGTCCAAAGAACTCTGTGCCTTGGTGTTTGGAATCAACACTTTGCTTGCCACCATCCTCAAGAGCATCATCACTGTCATCATAACCGACAAGAGAGGCCTGGCTCTTTCAGTCCATCCTCAGGTGAGGATCACACGCTTATGCTAGGTTTGTGGTCTGCCTCTCTTGTGCAGTCCTGGCTGCCTTATCCTGACTTAGGCAGGATTTGCACAATGACTAGATGAGCAAGTTCATATTAATAATCATGGTAGGGAAGAGGCCCAGGTGGTCAAGGAGAAGGATGGAATTCTCAGCAATGACCCGTTGCAGTTACTTTGCTGTTTGTGACTTCATTTTGCATGAATACACAAAGCTGCTTTGGATTTTATGACCAGCCTCAACCTGTGCCTATCTAGTTCAGTGAGCCTCCTTGAGTTCAATGAGAGGTGAAAGTAGCATCACAGCCTATAATGCAGTACTATATACACTTGCTTGCAAGTTAGCTCCATTAAAAACAATGGAATTTACCTCTCAGTAGACCCAAGCAGGGTTTTACATTTCAGTTTTGTGATGAAAGCAGGGCCAACAAAGAGCACAGGCCTAGCAGCTCTGATGAGCCACATTTCTGTTCTCTGCTGTTCTAATTTCCACCCTCTTCCCAAATATAAAAGGCTTGTGTCAAGATCAAGCTTGATCCTGAACAGTCCCACAATCTTAGTGGAACTTGTTGCTACATAAGTTCTGCTTAATTAACATAACTATTAAAAAAACAAACAAACATGCAACTTCCTGCAAAATGTTCGTTTGCTCATTGATCTTGCATTATCAACAAAAACTTCATCCACCTTGCAAACTTTAAGGATATGCATTTCTGGAAAGGAAGCAGAGCCAACCTAATCCATTCTTAAAAGGCTTGTCTTCACTGGCACATGGTTAGGGTGGGCTTCACGGAGCCCTGTAATTAACAGAAGCCACATGAAAAGATTAGAGATGGGCAGTGTACTGCTGTATAAATCTTAATCAATGGAAATCTGCAAATGGAAAAACGTTTGCTTCAATTAGTGTAGCTGGGCTTGACCAATGAGGCCGGCAGAGCAAGTGGTCTCTTTGGCTCGCTTCCAGCTTCATATTCATCCCCTCAGTTAAGAACAGAAGATGAGCTGTGCTGGATCTGACCAAGGGTTCACCCAGCCCAGTATTCTGCTCAAGCAACGAGAGCCTGCAGAACCCCACAAGGAGGACATGAACGTAGCAGCACCCTCCCACCCATCTTCCCCAACAACTAGTGTACTTAGCCACACAGCCTCTGCTACTGAAGGTGGCGTAGAGGTATTGGGATTCGTAGCCATTGATGGCTTTCTCCTTCATGAATTTTGCCCAGGCCCTTTTCAAACTGTGGTGGCCTTCATGACTTCTCCAGGAAATAGGAAATGAATCCTATTGTTTAACTATGTATCGTGTGAAGAAGTTCTTCCTTGATCTGTCCTGACTCTTCCATCCATCCATGAGCCTCATGGGATGAGTCCAGGTGCTAGGATCATGGGAGAGGGAGGAGGATGCCACAACAGAGGGTGGCAAGATAGAAATCCTGCTGTTGGCAGAGTGGAAGTGGACTAAGCCAACTGCCCCTGCTCAGAGAGGGTATGCTGTGGGACGAAAGCATGGAAGGCTGTTGTCCTCATGCCCAAGGGGCATCCAGCTGGCCACAGTGTGGGGCAGACTAGCTGGGCCTTTGGCCTGATCTAGCAGGACTCTTCTTATGTTCTTACTCCACCTGTGCGCTTCTATGGGCTGCTGATGAATCACAATTTTGGATGATTCGAGGCTCTGCAGTTTGTTTTCATTTAAAGACTCGCTCTTTTCCTCTGCTCTTGTTTTCCAGTTTTATGTTTACTTTGGCTACTTCACACTCCTGGCTGTGATATATTTTGTGGCGTCCATGATTGTGGCAGTGCGGCACAAAGTATGCCGGAAAACTGAAGAGGCAGCACCGGCCAACGAGCTCAACAGCCCGGTTGAGGAAGTCATTGGCAAGGGCAAGTGCACAGAGCAGGCTAGCTCTGAAGCCTGAGAGATACAGCAGGTGGAGGAAAAGACAGACCCAGCCTGTGCACTTCCAGTTGGGAGGTGATCAGTGGAACTCCTGTGACAATCAGCACTTAAGGGGCCCTTGCAGCATTGATCTCCAGAGTGCAATGACACTGCAGGGACCAAGAAGGGGAAATGCCCTGCTTGGTTTGACGGAGGGGTTGGTACCAGGCAGTTTCCCTCTGGCAGACCAGTTTCCCTGCTTGTTCTGAGTCTTGGGCATGTACTCTGAACACGCTCTTCCGTGTGCACCATCACCTCATGGAGGTATTTGCCAATATTATGCTTGGGCACTCCAGTGATTGTAGGATATGATTTTAAACTTGGACATTCACCCTTCTAGCCTGCAAATGAACCAGCATATCAAGATAGATGCAAACACTTTTAAGACATTAACCTTTTATTAAGCATACCTATAAATTTGATACTGATTATATTCTGCTGGGACTCAGTTGTGTTAATATTTCCCCCTTTTCAAGAAAATAGAGTTAATTCTTTAAGTTTGCCTTTTAGGCTTCCAGTCTTCCCTGCTCTAGAAATCCTGCTCTTGAGAGGGAGGTCAGCCACTCCAAAGCAAGCCCTCAGTTCTGCTGGGTGGTGGCAATGACTGGGAGAAACGGGAGAAATGAGAGTCATGCCAGGATCTCTTGCAGATTTAGCTCACCTTTGAGGCCTCAGCTGTTTGCTTTGCTCCAAAATCAATTCTTACTCTTCTTTCCCTTGCCTCCCCAATCCTATTCCTCCATTATTTCCAAGCCATTCTGACTGACCAAGAGCATATTTACTGAGGCCAAACAGTGTTTGAGAAAAGGGTGAATTAGGAGTTCAGCTGACCATGTGCAGTCAATGCTGATTAAGTTTCTAAGCTAGCTTGGAATGTGTCTGGTATTACTTTCAAGAAAGAGGAAGTAAATGGATTTTCTAGACCAGACATCCAGTGGACATAATTAAAGAGGTGCAAGTAATGTAGAACTTTTGGCATTAGAAGCTTCCTGTTCCCCCACTGGCTCCCAAAGGCAATACTTGAAAGACATGCTGCACATGCCAGGAGGTATCCTTTTCCTCCTTCCCATACTTCAGGATTGAGCTGAGCCAAGATTGCATTTCAGCCCTCTACCCACACAGGGAGCTCTCTACACTTTCATGCATAGGCTCAAGAGAAGATTAAAAGAGGATACTTTCCTTTATTCAGTGCTTTTAGAAAACAGTTTATAGAACACAACACACAACTGACAAAGATAGAGAGATCCACAGGCTTTAAAAACTGCATTCAATTCTTTCACTTTCGCATTCAATTTTTTCACAAAATACAGTAGACAGAAATAGACTGTGTGACTTGCACAGATTTCGTGTTGACAGCAAACCCCCCAAAAAGCTATAGAAATTTAGCACCTTTCTTTCTCACATCCAACTCAAATGTTCATACATTCCTGTTCAAAACAGAGCTGGGATGCCCCAAGCCTCTGCCTTGAAGTGGCAGAGGTTGAGTCATGCTGGAGCCTACAGGCAGGGAAGGCCTCAAGGCTTGGCTTTGCTGTGCATCCGGCCTGAAGATGGCTTAAATGCTGACGGGCTGTGACCCTGCATAGCTGTGATTTTGGGTAGTGAGGAAAGCCGGACTGGACTTAAGCTGCCTGTACTGCAGGCTGTCCTTTCCAGACTCTGCAACAGCAGCACGGAGCCAGGCACCTCCCTGCTTAATGCGTTGAAAGCGCGGTTGTGTGTGCAGCAGCTGAGAACAGCTTGGACTGAGGGGCTCCTACTGTAGCACTGAAAGGAGTGGGGTTGAGGTGGCTGTTGGTTTGAAGGGGGTAAGTCTTTCCTAACTCTGATTTGGGAGCAAATGCAAACTGGGGTTTGGGGCCTGAAACAAATTCAGTAAGGATTTGGGAGAACTATAAATGGAAGATTACAGTCATTACTTGCTGGAAGGCAGCTTCTTCAGGGCCCATGGAGCCTGACTGCCTGTGCTTAAGGGGTAATGGTTCTCCAGTGTCTTGGTTCGCATTATCTGTTATCAGATACTTGTGAGTGAAGATTTCCACCCAGGACCTCCTGCGTGCACGGCATGAACTCCACGGAGCTGTGGTGTCTTGCCAACAAGCTGCAGGACAAGGAGTGTCAGCAGGTGTGCTCTAGGGTTCTGAAAACTAATGTGAACTCCAGGAGTTCAGCATCAATCCATTCTTCTGTAAAAAGATAGAAGACTAGACAAGAGAAATGTTTAAAAACACTTTAAAATGAATGCATGGAAACTTTGGATTCAATTCTACTTCCGCTCGGCCCCTAAGGAGAATGCATTAAATCTTACATAAGGCTGTTAGCATGGCTGACCTGAAGCTTACAGAGCTAGATAAAGGGCAAAAGGTATGTGGGAAAGAAGCATACTTGTGGTCTTAATCTTACAGTCCTGGGTATGTCTTATCAGAGGATACTGCAAATTCAGCAACAGAAATTGCAACTGGGCCATGACAAGAACAGTGCTATTTGCTTCTACAGCCAGGAATGGAACGGCATCAGCAACTAGTTCAGCCTGCTAGTGTGTCAGGCAGAGCTGGGGGAAAACAGCTATTCAACAAGCCCCAACAATTATTTGCAGAGGGACAAACGGCAGGACAGATTCCTGGCTCTTGACGGCAGGGGTGCAGGGAGAGGCAGGAATTTTGTCCCTCCTGCTGCCCTGGGCAGCCACAGAAAAACCACTTCAGTGTTTATACACACCTTTGGCTGTGGCCCAGTGCTGTCTAAGTTTGTGTCATTAGCACCATACTCGCAATCTAAAGGTAGGCTGTGCCCAGAGGGCCTGGCGGGCAGAGATGGCTACAGGCTGTGCCCACAAGAATTCACCCCAAACGGCAGCACCGTCACCACCTCTCTGCTTTTGGACGGCCATCTTATGTTTAGCCCACCACAATAAATAGCATTCCTGATGCACACCACTTACTTGGCCTCGGCTTTCTTTTTTCAAGGAGCAACTGGGTAGTTTGGCTTGCAGTGGAAAAGGCAAACAGAGAAGCTGGATGAAAATGCAATCCAAGGGTTAAAGGCAGGCAAGATTAAGGCAAGAGAGTGAGAGCGTTTCATGTACCACACTTGCCTGGAGATTGCCTTGCACAGGAGCCTGTTCTGCCCCACCCCCTCAGGTGGGCATGCATTGCTTGCAGCAGCCATGCCAGGAGGAAACACACACAAACATTCAGCACCAGATCTGCCCTGGACATCGTAGGAAGACACTCTTTGGCTTTCACTCATGCATCTGCTTGATCGGTATATTATGGAGCTGGCTGGACACACAATCCTGACTGGGGACGGGTGGGGGAACCGCGGCCCGCTCCCCATTCCTTAAGAGAAATGTCTGGGTTCCCATCCTCTGCTTGCAGTCAGCGCTTTCGGTTGTGTGCGGCTTTTATTTTTGGGAAGAAGTCATGAAGCTGTTTTCGATGCACAGGACTATGAAGGCATTCTTGCAGCTGCTGCTCTTCTGCTCAAGGAGCTTGCCTGATGCCAGTGAAGAGGCCTGGCCTGCCACCACAGCATCGTCTGTCCGCCATGTTTCACAATAGCTCTCTGTTAGCCGCCGTCCTTTGGAATCGGAGCCGTGCCACACGTACTTCTGAGGCCTGGAAAGCATGTGAAGATTTAGCACCACTTCACACAGGAGCCCTGCTTCTTTGCTGGCAACTGTGCCCCCAAGGCAAAGGCACCTCGCGTTGGTCACAGGGTTTGCTGTGCCCAATGTGTCGACAGTTATGGGCACCCATTCATGCCATCTAAGGGTAAGAGGGTTCAACCGAATCTCCTGGGCAAGAGAAGAGCCTACAGCCTGCTAACAGATTGATCAGAGACATGTGCCTCTGGGGAAGAAGAAAAACCTCCATGCATATATTTCTAATGTGCTGTTCCAGAAAATAGCTGGCAAAGCAATATGCAAATATCTCAGTGTTCCAAATACGTTCCAAGAAAAACGCCACATAGCTCTGTGAAAACAATATAATCTGGTACCTGTGGAGACATTTATTTACAAAGATGAGGCAAAGGAGAGATGCTTGTTTGATGCCTTTGGAGTTGTGGGGCCATGGAGAGACCAGGCCCAGCTGGAGGAATAGCAAACATGCAGCCAAGGCACATTCCTAGATCTCCCATCTATGGGCAATCATTAACTTTCCACCTACCATGCCGAGTCTCTCAGAACGTCCCTTCCATCGAAGGAGAGGATGTGAGCCCCAGTTCTAAATGATGCCTCAGAGCCTGAGAAGAGGTTCTCCCAATTATTAAAGAGCACTTCATCCTGGAAAGGAATGGGAAAGGGCAGGAGAGTTGCAGAAGCATTTCTCCAAGAACATCTTTGCTTATCATTACTTTCCTCTGATGTGAGAAAATCCGTCCTTCTCATTACAAGGCCCACAAACTGGTAAGGCCCATGCCTTGTGTGTCAAGATCCCAGGTCCAGTCCTTGTGGTCTCTACTGAAAGGCTCTCCAGTAAAGATCAATCCTTAAGTATTCTAACTCCATATAAAGTAGCTCCTTGAATCCTTTTGGAAATAATCGGTAAAGTATCAGATTATCTGCAGTGCTTTTGTTATTGTTTCTACAACCAGTCTCCAACTTTTTGTGTAATCTTTTAAAAATGATATACACAGAGCTAGGGCTTTGAGTGAGGTGACTTCCTGAGCAGAAAAGGCACCTATACAGTAAGTATAAATAGTTGGGAATATATGCACTGTTTTATTGTAATCCACTTTGGGTGTCTCACAGAAAATCGGGGTATAAACAGAAAACTAACTGTTGCACTCTACACTTCTCAGAACTGCATTTTATTTGCCATGTTAATTGTACAGTTGAATCAGTTTTGCTAAAGATCTCTTAGCTTTAACATGAACTATCTTTAAAACGCTCACACATTTTGGATTCAGAATGCAGGAAATCCAACATTGCTATCGCCCCAATGACCATCTAACCTTTGCAGGCTGTTCCCCTGCTGAACAACTTCTGGGAAGTTCTTCCTAATATTTGGTATGAATCAATTTTCTTGTAATTTGAGTTTGTTGGTTTACTTCCTGTTTGGAGCTTTCCTGTTGGACTCCCGGCCACCCACTTGCCAAGGAGGAGGAAGAAAAATCTCCCATCATCTATATTACAGTCCTTCAGATATCTCAAGATGGCTATCATATTGCTTATTAATATGGCCTATTCTCTCTTCTTTGGGTTAAACATACTCAGCTCTTGTAACCTTTCCTCATAAGACTTAATTTCCAGACTCATTACTATCTTTATCACCTTCCTCTGAGTATGTTCCAGTCTACCTTTAAACCACAGTGCCAGACCTAACAAAGTATTCCAGTTGAGATGTGGACAAGACAGGTTATAGCAGAAGCAAGCATTTTTGTGATCTGGACAGTATACATCTGAGGATGCAATTCAGACTTGAACTGGCTGTTTAGTTGTTGATGACTCTACAATCACCCCAGGAGCCTTCTAATGTGCCTTGTTATCATGCTATATACCAGGGTTGCCAGACTTCCTCAACAGAAGAGCCACTTATGGTAAATGTCAGATGCTTGAGAGTTGCAAGTGGGTGGCAGCAGGTAGCAATCGGCGAACCACAAAATAAAAGAGCCGCATACAGCTCGTGTCAGTTTGCCCACTGCCGCTATATAGCAAGCGTTTTGTATTTGTGAAATGGATGCTTTCTACTTAAATGCAAAACTACCATCTTGAAGATAATTTTAGTCTTTGGCTATTCCACTCTGTGGGCAAGATCACACAATAAAGCAACCAACCTAGTGAGTTAGCTACACAATGTGGGCTGTTTATGCAACAACCCATGGTGTGCCTAACATACGATCAGGCTCACCATGGGTTGTTTTCTCTCTGTTTTCCAGGTGGTATCCCAGGGTCTCTCACAGAACAACCCATCTTTTCTCCCCCTTCCTGCTCTGATCATGACCCCTTTTCAGCCATATCTCTTTTTCTTTTAGAGTTTAAAAACAGCACAACTGGGGCCATTTTCCCCCATTCTGGCCCTCAGAACGCACAGATGTCATCACATTTTTGTTTTGAGTATGGTTTTTTCAGTCAGCTTTTATAGTTGCACCATTTCACTGTCTCAACTTTCAGTGCTAGCCAATGCTCCTGTCCGTTTCAGCTGTCAAATACTAACAGATTAACCAAGGACTACAGACAGGCTACTCTCCAACTGGCTGAAAATTGTCAGTTGCTACAGGAAAGCACCAGCATGGCACCTCTTGGAAAGCACCAAAGCACAAAGGGAAGTGGCAACAGAGCAGGTGCACTGAAAGGGGATGGGCTTAAGATTTTCCCCTTGGCCAATAAACCCTCTTAATTTCTACTGCTGAACGACCCTTTTCAGTGCCTTCCGTCTTTGCAACACTTCTCTGTGTTCCATACGTACCCAGAAAAGGGAGATCCTAAAGCCACTGCTGCTGCCACCCCTCCTTTCTGTGGCTCTTTTTTTAGTTTATTATTATTATTATTATTATTATTATTATTATTATTATTATTATTATATCATTTCTATGCCGCCCCTTGCTGAAGCCTCGGGGCGGCTTACAACACAATAAAATTCAATACAATATAAAAATAACAATATAAAATTAAAATTAATAATATAAAATAAATAAAAAATATAAACGATATAAAAGAAGTTATAAAAGTTTAAAAGAAAAGAAAAGAAAAGAAAAGTTTCATGACAACTGTACAGTCAGACCCTCTGGGAAGGCAGCTGAGTGGGGCATTGTGAGCAGGGCCACATGGAGGGGAGTTCCCCATTTGATCTGTCCTGTTCTGCCACCTCTACAGGCTTAAAAGTTTGTGCATTCTGCTTGTACAGGGAAATACAGCTCGATTTCAAGACTGAGGAATACATGAAGAGCAAATGCACAGAGATTTCAAGGGTGCGGTATAGATGGCGAGGAACTATAGCACAGGTGTCTCTTTAGTTTACTTCTCAGCCCTGAAATCTGCATACGTTTCCTTTTACTATGCAAGAGAGTTGCATGGATAAGGGGAAGATGTCACAGCGCGCCCACCCTCACCACAGAAACAGGCGCACAATCGGGGGGTGAAGAAAGAACAAGTGACCCAGTTGTGGTCGCTTCAAGGGGGCACCTCACTTGCCACTTCCCTCCAGGCTGACGAGGAGCTGTTGCTGAGCACTCTGAGTGCAGCCCATCAACCAGCCAGCTACCCCTCTGACAGTAGCACTGTCCAGCTCGCATCCCACCGGCCTGCCAACAAGAGCATCATGGCAGCCTTGTTGAAAGCTTTGCTAAAATGAAGATACACCGTGAGCACAGCTTTCCCCTGATCTAGTGAGTAAGCAAGAGACGGAGAGAGAGAATGGAAGGAAGGAGGATGGGGGAGGGGGAGAGAGAGAGAGAGAGACTTGCCATGACTGCTTCTTGAGAAACCCCTGCTGGCTCTGTGGGATCCAAATATGTCCCTCGAAATGTTCACACAAGAATTACTTAATGATTTGTACCAGAGCCTTTCCAGATACAGACATTGAGCTTACTTGCCTGGACCCTCCTTTTCCACCTTTTGGGAGGCTGTCCCACTTCAGTGCCTTTGGAAAAGGCTATGAGACACGACTCTGTGGAAGACGGTGAAGGCAGGGATGCTGCCTTGCACTTACCCCCCGCTCCAGCAACTTCTGCTGTCACATACCAGCCTCAAGAAGTGAAATTCTGGAAGCACAACCAAAGCCCTCCATTCACACCGGGTACCTGCCAAGAGGTGCTACTGAAGCTCTTATAAGCCTTCCCTGTCGTAAGGGTCTATTTGCCCGGCCCCGGACTGCAGACGTACCCTGAGATTGACGATCGGCACGGTGCTCCTGTCCGCTCTGCGCACGATGCTGTAGAGGTCCTGCAGCCGGGAGGAGAGGAAAGCTCGGAAGGTGCCTGTCAGGCCAACCTCCCGGGCTTGCTGGAAGCACTGGAAGTCCGCTCCTCGGATGCCACGCATGCTGCCGCTCAGGGGAGCGTTCAGAGCTATCAGGTGCAGCTGTCAAAGGACGAAGGAGGCCATGTGAGGGAGCAGGCCCTGCCGTCGCTATTCCACGGAGCCATCAAGTGCTGTTTTCACAAGGGAGGCGACAGAGGCACGGAGATGCAATGTGGAGGCAGTGCGGTCACCACCCTCCGGCAAGCAGGGGGCAGCCGGGCTCTGGTCCCACCACGCCTCAGCCGGGTCCCGCTGTGCAGCAACCAGCCCTGCCAAGCGAGCGGAAGCCGGCCCTGTTGCTCGGCTCAGGGCCGGCTAGTGGAACGTTGCAGGAAAGGCCGGCCTCTCCTGCAGTGACATCCGCAAGGCAGCCGGAATGGTGCTGCAGTCAAACTGTTTGGCCAGGGCCAGCGCCAGGGCAGCCTCAATTCAAATCCTCCCTAAGCCATGAGACAGACCCACTGGGTGACCTTGGCCCATCGCTATCTGTCAGCCTAACGGGGCTCTTGCAAAGATCGAACACGGGTAGGGAGAGGCCATGTACATCATCTTGACTTCCTCGCAGGAGCAGTGGGATTAAACGCAAATACCTGCCTGCACCCGTTCCACCTAGATGGCGAGGTCTATCGTTGTCTAGGGTCTGCTCTGGATACTCAGACTGGCCACTGGGTCATCCCAGAGAAGGCTGGACTGCAGGCTCAGCTGGTGGACACACTGCTGTGCCCCAGCAAACAAGCCAGCAGCCACAAACAAGTCTCCACCCTGCCACTGGGACCAGCTTGGTCTGAGCTTATGCAAAGATACTCTTCGTGCCGCTGCAGGGATGAAAAACAGCAGGTGTCCTGAGATGAGGCTCCTCCTTTGCACAGTCCAGCCACAGACCATTTCCATAGCAAACTTTCTTTGTTGGTCCCAAGTATAAATCACTTAGAATGGATCTCTGAGCATGCACAGAGTTGTTTGCTGAACCCAATCCAGTGTTTACCTCCAAGAACTCTCCTTACGAACATGCTCAGGCTCCAGCCTATCAGGAGGGCCTCTCCGAAGGCAAGCACGCCTCCTCTCCATGCACTGCACACTCAGTTGGGCCTTCCACCTCTGCTGATGCCTCACTGGGGGTGGGGCTGGTTTGTGTCTCAGAATTCCTCATCCTCAGAGACCCCTCCCACTGGCTGTACATCCTGGTCATTCCCAAGAACTGCTTGGTTCAGCAAAGCTCCCGGCCGTGAGATAATCTCCTCCTCCTCCTCCTCCATCTCAGAATCTTGCCCATCCTCCCCAATCTCGCTGAAATATGTTTCACATTCTAATTCTGAATCATCTGGAATGCAGGCAGCAGTCCGTGGGGGCACCCCATCCCTCTTACTCCCAACAGCAGGCACCTTCCATGTTTCCTCTGTTTCCCCAGCTTGTAACAATGGAAGTTATTCCTGAGGTTTCCTTCTATTGTGACTTCATTGTATGTGAGGCTGTGTGTATGTGCTTTAATTTGTTTCTAATTCATTCTCTTAGCTTCCTTGTTACCTGCTTCAGTTGAAAGCCATGGCACTCTTTTCAAAAATATACTAAATATCTCAGAGCCAAGGCAAAAGCAGCTAAAGATTAATTTGCATGGATGAGGCTGGGGAAAAGAGACAAGAAGAGCAAGCCATAGCTGGCTTGCGTAGTTCCCTGTGCCTGCCTGAGGAGCAGATCCAGGGACACGCGCACATGCACTCCCCCACATGGCAAAGCCTCACCCCCACAATGTGCTTTTGCGGTTCTGATCCAAATGCACCATGTGCTACCCCACGCAGTAGCTAAAGTGGGCCCCACTGGTTCTTCCTGTCATCTGCCAGTCTCTGGGGGGTGGCGGGGGTGTATCGTCTACCATAATCACCAGTTTCTATTGTGGAATTGGAGCCAAGTGCTCATCCAATACCACCCTAAATCTCCTTCTGTGCTGCCCATTGAGACAGCCGCCAAGGCAACACTTTGAGCAGCAGGAATGCTGCCGCCGCCACCCGAACAATGTGTAGAGAACTCACAGCAGGCTGGAAATCGTGGTGCGTGTGAGCAGAGGGAGCCGCCTCGGGCTGGCGGCCGTTAAGCAGCAGGCTGTTCAGGGACTCCTGGTGGCGCTGTGCTCCCTGGCGGGGCTGCTCGGGGAGGCGGTGCTGGCTGGCGATGCTGTCGTCCCCTCTCCAGGGCCTGGCAGTGGAGTAAGTGCTGTATTCTCGGTGCGAATGCACAGGCAAATGCGGCTGGACGAAGCGTGGGGATCCCGAGGCCGCCGTGCCGCCATGCGAGTAGTGGACGCTGGAAAACCTTTCATGCACCTCGTTGTCCTGGAAGGGAATGCGGAATCATCCCCAGGCCACCTGAGCACTTCCATATGTTGTCTGCTGCCCAAGAGCCGAAAAAATCCACATTTTCTGCTGCCTGTCATGCAGTCTGGCTCCATTGCCAGTGCTGCTACATGCGCATCCCAGTCTTGAACGATCAGCACATGTTCCATCAGTAAAACCCCTCACCGGTGGTCCTCAGTCCTTACTGGCCCACTGTGAGCTGATCATTTTATGTATTTATTATTCATTTATTGCATTTATATACCACCCCAACAGCCCAGGGGGCTCTCTGGGTGCTTTACAATCATTCAAGTTGCCCTCCCTCTGATCCACTGCTTTGATCCATCCATGAGGCCACATGTGGGCACGCCTCTCATAAGTACTGAAATTCAACATTTAAAAAATGATAGAGGAATAATGAAAATTCCTGCAACACAACAACCCGAGCAGGTTTATAATGCCCCATAATATACCTCACCTGGGGAACCATGCCAGATAATGGGATCTCACTTACCAGCCCAGGGCCAGAGAGGCTCACTTTTTCCTCGAGCTGAAATTAAACCAGTAACGTAATTTAGCATTTGTACAGTGTTCTTTGCTATTTTGGTAGCATCTCTAAGAAGTTGGCGTGATTATCCCCACCTCACAGATGGTCGAAAGACTTGCCTAAAACTGCAGCGGAGGAACAATTGGAACTAGAGGACTCCCAGCCCACAGTGCAAAATGCTGCTGCAACCGCTGTGTTGCACCACACCGAGACACAGTTTTTGTTACTTCCAGGATGTATTTTGGCATTTTGAAATCCTAATTAACTTAGGGAATTCTAGAAGGGGGAGAAAATTTGCCAGGATGCTCTTTCGTCTGACAAAATAGGTCAAAACTGCTTAGATGCTACAGTCCCCATTTATCAGAATTATGGCTACTGAACACCACAGTTCTTGTCACACTTCTGCAATAAAGTCTCACTTTTAGAGCACGTGGTCTATCCCTTTATTTCACAGCTAATTCAGCAAAGAATGAGACAATAACAGCTGCCAATAGCTTCTTAATTATTTTGAGCTGAGTTGGGATGGGAAGGGAAAGAAGGTTCTGCAAAGAATGTCTCAGATCAACTCTTCATGAAATGAGAGCTTCCAGTAAAGACTTAAAGCAGAATGTCATACTTGGGTAAACCAGACAAGGTGCCACCCTAAAATCAACAGCTACTCATGGGCTTACTGAAAGACCCTCCAGTGCGCTATTATGGGCAACCCAAGTTTGAGGAATGACGTGTAACCTTAGTTACATGCATATCTAAACCATTAATGGGTGAATTGCCTGGTATCCTAGAACAATACCCAGCCACTCCCTGGGCAAATGAAAACAGTGGCATCTCTGAGTAAGAACACAACAGACGAAAGGGATAATACTAGATATACTACATTTTTACTATTGGGAACAATCTTTTAAGGGAGGAGTGAATTTTCTATCACCTACGGTCTTCAGATAGAGATCTTTATGAAGGATGCAATCCTCTCCTGGTTTACACAGAAGATGCATTCCCCAGCCAGCATGGCTCACTGGAGGCCTTTTTAGTGTCTCAGCCTGCCTTGGATTGTGCCCTCAGAAGTTACGCTGTGGCTGGTGTCTGTCAATTATAAGCTTTGCTGGCTTTTTTACAAATAAGGAGGTCTATAGATGTTGGTAAGAAATAAACAGAGGCCCTCTGACACACAAAAAGTACTGATGCAGCTGCAGCTTGGAACTTGAAAGAATTTGAACGATGTACGTCTCAAGCTCAGAACTTCTGGGCTAACTATAAGTTGATCCTAAGAGTTTGGGCTTGGCTCGTAATGAGCTCACCCCCGTTTCTGCTCTCACTTATCTAGCAGTGACAACCATTAAGAAAGAGTTGCAGCCGGTTCTTCAGTGACAGGGCACAGCACTACCAGTGACCCGGGGCTTCTGGAGACTGGGGGCTTTCTCAGTCTCACTGAGTAACAGTGGGCTTCGCAAAGAGGTTATAAGGAGGGAGGCTGGATGCTGAGAATTGGCTAGACTGTGAAATTAAGGAAATGAACCCAATATAAATCAAGTCCCATCTAGCTCATGTTAAGCAAACCCATTCTAAATCAACAGGGAGGGCACTTCCAGCACTCTGCATGCATTTAGTAACCATCTAATTCTGTATTAACCTGACCATCTGTCTTTGACCTGCAAAAAGAGCCCATTTTCCAAGTTAACTGCCCACATGAACCCTTGCGCCCAACGCTGCTGCAGGGCACTCACGAGAATCTTCTTGAAACCACTGCGGACGCGGATGTAGAGCTCTTCTCTCTCAGGGATGAAAACAAGCTGCCCTTCGGGCACTTCATGAGCTCTGCCTATCATGCTCTGGTAGGTTGGCAAGATCCGCAGCTGTCGGGAAAAAGCAGAAAAGGGCACCTTGGTCTCTATTCAATTGCTAGGCTTTGACTGAGTGTTAAAACTGTGTGTATCGCAACCTGCAGGCTTTGCCGATAAGCAGTGACGCTCCAACGTAGGCACAGAGAGCCCCTCAAACAGCTGGCTTGGCTTTCAATCCCTGTCTGGGCACAGCCCCATTCTTTGGCCACTCCTGCAACTGAATGGTGCCTGGCTTGCTTCGCATGCTCCGTATCCTGCTGCCACATTGACAGCTCTTGCTTTAATCATATGGCATCTTTCATCACATATAAATTCCTTCACTAAAACTGGTCACTATCAGATATGCTGGACAAATGACAGAGGCCAGAGCCATACTTGCTGGTCACCACCCTTAAGCTGTTCTTATGTACTGCCCAATGATCATCTGGAGGAATTTCCAGGAATTCAGCATAGCAATGACTACTTATGCTTCAGAGCCATGCTGGAGTATTTTGCCAATGGCTGGAGATGCCGCTTCCACCAACATCTTGTCCACCACAACCTCTAACCAATAAGCTAATTCTACAGTTGAGAGAGCCTGTGAGGGATCAGGGCCGCTTAGAGAAATTTAGTGTCTTCCCAACTTCCACCCAAGCCCACAACCGCTGGCATTCACACGGGTTGCCTTATGTGTGTGGCAACCGGTCTATTGTCTTACCCCGGAAGAGGGAGATCTATCACTAACGCCTGGTGGCCCTGGTGGCCCCGGTGGCCCTGGTGGCCCAGGAATCCCAATGGCTGGAAAGGAAACAAAACTGGAGTTAAACCATGCGAGTCTGCACAGACTGCTGTGTTACTGACCCAACGCTAAAAGGAAGGGCAGCTGGAAACAGTTTTGAAGAGCAGCACTCACATTGCCTATGGGCTCCTGGAAAAGAAGGTGGTCCTGGAGGGCCAGGTGGACCAGGGGGGCCGGGGATCCCGGGGCGTCCCTCATATCCTGCCCCAGGAGGTCCTTGGGGTCCTGGAGGGCCAGGTGGACCCCTAATACTGTCTCCTTTAGAGCCCTGATAAAACAAGGAACACATTAACAGAACCACCAAACAGGAATCAACTACAGGGTGAATAGTGCAGCTCTTGGCCCAAACCTATCACCCCGACCCACCAGCACTCAGAATGAATATAATTAATTGCTTGGATAAAAGTCAAATGCATAGTCTAAATGCTCCCACCACCGCCCAGGTCCTGCTCTTTGACTCCTCCACTTCAAAATTCGGCAAGGGTTTCGGCAAGGTTTCGGCAAGGGGGTTTCGGCAAGGGGCGGCACAGAAATGTTATAATAATAATAATAATAAAAAATATACCTTCCCCTTTTCTAGGCTCCCCTGGAGGCGCCGCTCCTCAGCAACAGAGCACATGCTTTGCATTCAGAAGGTCCCACATTCTCCAGCATCTTCAAGGCTGGAAAAACACCTGCCTGAAACCCCAGAGTGCTGCTGCCAGTCCGTGCTGACAGCGCTGCGCTAGAGGCGTAAGGCGGCTTCCTATGTTCCCAGTGTTACTGTTGCTTCATGCTCCAGGCACCTTGTTCGGGCCTCATCCAGGAGCATCCTGATTTTAGGCATTCTCATCCCAGGCTCAGGGACAAAGCTACAAGCTTTTCCCCAAGGAAACCTCCTGGACTTGCAGTGGTGCCACCTTGCAAGCTGCCTCCTTCCTCGCTTGCTCTGCTCTTGCCCGCTGCCCACTGCTCTTTCTGCCTGGATCCTGCCGCTACCATGTGGGGCAAACCATGTGCCAAGCAGCCTCACTGAAGAAGCAAAAGCATCACTATTTATTTGCAGGTCAAGCCTCTTGAAGAGTTGCTCCTCCCCCCATTTGGTAAAAGCATCACAGCAATACATTTTAACGATCTGAGAGAAGACAACACTTGCCACCTAAGGCAGCCGTTCCTCTTCTGCCTGATGGCAGGGATCCGAAGGAACTTCCTGGCCAAAAGGCAAAGCAGGGTTGCTAATGCCAGAGTCCCCAGCGCGTCTGAGCAAAGGGGTGCGTACCTATCTGGCCCTGTATCCAGCAATGGACACATCGGACCACAATGACAGAAGAACTCTTCTCAGATTGGTTGCTTTTTTCCTTAAATATTGCCCCAGGGTAATTCCAATATTTCTGCAAAGCTTTGTCCATCTGCTGCAGCACAGCATGGCTTCATCCTAAAGGCCATGGGCCCTTCTTAACAGCCTACCCTCTTCACTTTTCCATCTCAGCCCAATGCCCTACCAAAGTTGCCACACACCAGGCTCAGCTTCCCCCTCCATGGAACACTTCAAAGAATGCAGAGGAACAAGCCACACTGCAGACAATGGCCATAAACCACCTTAGTATGCAGTTTGGGATATCCTACCGGAAGACCAGGGTACCCTGGGGGACCTGGAGGTCCAACGATGCCTGATCCAAATGATCCTCCACCTGACTCTCCTTTCTCGCCTTTTGTCCCTGTTTCACCTTTGTCCCCTTTTTCGCCCTGTGGAAGGCAATCAAGTGAGCAACAATGCAGCAGCTGCACAGACTGCACCCACCTACGTGACCTCCAAAATTAGGGTCGTTTTCTACCACAGCAGGTCCATGAGGAAACCGATGAAACTACCCAGCCTGATGATGCAGAGCTAGGGGAGGGGGAGGGGGAAGGAGACGGACTAAAGTGAGCCACAACTCAAGTACCTGGTACTGAACTGAAAGTTGCCCCTGATGCTCTGTAGAGATATCACTCTGTGCCGTAACTCTGCAGTGCAGGGTCTGTTGCTCAGCGCATGCAATCTGAGAGGCACCCTCGTTCAATTTAATATCAGTTAAGGCTCCTTTGGGGCTGGAGGGACCCCTTGACTGGCACGGACTCTGTTACTTCTACCTTGGATGCACAGAATGGACTGGCAGGCAGAGTTCTGTGTTGGGGAGCAGTATGGGCCAGTGAAGAGAGACTGCTTAAACCCATTCAGACCCATTCTAAACGGAGCAGCAGCACAACAAGAGATGGCAAATTGAGCAGGCAGCTCAAACAAGCAGTTAATCTGAGCCCCTTGACCCTCAAAGCCCAGTTCAGAGCTGCAGAGCAGCCATGGACTTGCATCCTCAGGTCTTGGCCCATGTGGAAATCACTGCCATCATATCAGGGAACCAAAACAGCTCTCGTCTCCTGCTGCCAGTACAAATCGCACCAGTTGCATTTTTAGTCATCCGACAACAATAGCAACAGGTGAACCCAGCCTCTCGCTGGGCCTCCAGCAATGTTCAGGGGCACTAAATCTGCACGCTGTTAAAACTGAGGAGTGCAAGGGGGAAATGCTACCACTTACGGTAGGTGGAACAGCAATATCTGAGAACCCAAAGGCTTTTTCCTGTGACTGTTACTCTGCTCCTCTAAAAGCTTATTTGGCAAAAGACAGTTGTCCTTCCTCTCCTAGGACCACTGCCACAGTTTCCCAGTGATCCCCAGTTTTCTGTTCCTGGCAGCCTTATAAGGCTAGATAGCTCACCCAAATGAAGAACACTTACCCTGAAGGTGGAGCCAAATCTGCTGAAGTCATAGGGGAACTGGCCTTGTGAGGAATGAAGCAACAGAGAAGAATTAGATAACAACAAAGAAGACACTCTGTCGAGGAGCTGACTCCTGGGCTGCTGGCCACCAAAGGCCAGCAGCCATGACCTCCTTAAGTGAAGCTGGTGGTAGTAGTGGGGAATATAGGCTGAAGAGTCCAACACAGATGAAGAAAGCAGAAGCACCTTTCAGGAATTTCTGTGTATCATTCTTGTTAGTCTAAGCAGCATATTGTGTTCTTGAACAATGCTATTATGGGCCTCGACTTGTCTGCATTTGAGGAGGGCTGTTCTTTGGCCTGCATGCAAGCTGGGCACTGCGCACCCTCACTATGACTGTATGGGTGCCTGTGTGTGTCGACATGGTTGTGATTTTTGCATCTGCAAAGCCTGCTGGGTTAATGAACCCTCAGCTTGAATTCAAAAAGCCAGCACATTTTCAAGTTTGCTTTTGAGAGGATAAAGGTGAGGTCAGCTAGACTAGTGATTCTCACTATTTGCAGAGGGAGCCACTTTGGGGGGAAAAAACCAGCGTGAGAGGAACGTTCACTTGCAGCTGAAATCAGCCCATGAGAAGCACATGCAGACTTTGACCCTTCACTGCCATTGGCTCCAGACAAAACAGCCGATGGTCAGGAGGGCTTGGAGCCGCAGTCCAAAGGATCAGGAGAGCATTAATGGAAGGGAATGGGAGCTTCTGCTCAGTGCCTGCACAGCAGGATGGGGGCAGCTGCTTGGGGCAGAGGCTGGGCTTCCAACACAGAGCAGCCACTCCGATTTACCCTGCTCACCCATGCACTGCTTGGGGTTATAGTGGGGGAAGGAGGATTAACCCAGTCAGTGCCTCTTTCTACCTTCGTGGGGGCTAAAACCCAACTCTTCCGGCTCCCTTTCCCAGCTGCAGCTCCACTGTCCTGCTGTTCTCTCCTCTTCCCTTTTTAAAACCTTGCAGAGGTCTTGGCCAGCTCTTTATGGGGCTCCCCTGTCTCCCTTCCCACCTCACTATAGTGGGAAATGCAGCACTCAGCCACCTGCTTTATTCTATTTTACTTTAATTTACATATGCTTTTCTTTTTGTATTTTGATTATGTTAAGCAAATAGCATAATGAAAAAAATGCTGAGGTGAAGGAAGAGCTTGAGTGACGCAGCCTCCCACCTAAATCGCAGCAGGCTGCAAGCCCGAGACAGGGATGTCAGCGAGACAGCGGTGCTTGGGGAGGAAGGTTGAGGTGGCTCAGGAAGGTGAGCGAGGCCACAGGGGCCTTCAGCGCCTGCACTGCAGGATCCTCCCGGCTCAGTGTGGGCCACAAGGCAGAAGCTGAGCCCATGTATTGCATGACAGGGAATCTCACCTGGGGGCCCTGGAGGACCCATCTCGCCTTTCTCTCCCTTCTCACCAGGAGTACCATGGTAGCCTGGAAGAGAGCAAGGGTGTGAGTCTTGCTAATCACCAGGTGCCTGCAAGAAGGCACAGTAAGCCAGCACTGAAATTTCAGACCTGACATATCGCCAGAATTTGAGAATCCCTGGGAGAAACTGTGGATTCAGACCACCATGCAAGTCCATTTATTCGTTCAAGTTTGATTTACAATAAAATTGTTGTAAAAGCCACTTCAATGGGAGCAGTACCATGGCTCTGTACAGAGACTGGCATCCACTGCACAGAATGATAGTCTGAAGCACCATGGAAGGGGGATGCTATCATTTCTCAACAGCAGACTTCTGGGTGCGTTCCAGATGTTTTGGGTTACTGTTCCCATCAGCTCCAGCCAGCAAAGCCAGAGGTCAAGTAGCCCAAAGCTTCCCCAGTTTGGGGAAGGCTTCTCTATTGGGTTTCAGCCAGCGACACAAGAGTAGGACATCGATACGTTCTCCTGTTTGTACCATTTTGAATGTATGCCTCCCTGCTCCTATCATTTGCAGAGAGGTACGAATCCAGAACATTATGGGAAAACCCAATTATTTCCCACACTATCCTGCTCTTGAACCAGCTTAATAGTTTTCTTACCAGGCAATCCTGGTGGTCCAGGAGGGCCCATGTCGCCAAATGCCTGAAATGCAAAGAAACAAGTTTTCCCTTGAAGTGTGTCACCTCATCGATTTATCAGTCACTGTGCATTCCATTTCTGGTCCTACACAAAGGCACATGTGTGCTTCCCCAGTAAGTAAAGTTCCTTCAGTTGATTACTCACATTATTGTCATAAACAGGCACTACGCTGCCCGGAGGACCTGGGGGGCCAGGAGGGCCTGGGAGGCCAGGAGGACCCTGGAGAGAGGAAGAGAAGTACAATCAGTGATAGCTGGTGTGGTGCGGCTGCTAAAGGTTTGCACTGGGACTCAGGAGATCTGGGTTCAACTCCCTGCTTAGCCATGAAACTCACTGGGTGACAATGTTCCAGTCATGGGTTCTCACCTAGTCTACCTCATAGGGTTGCTGTGAGGGAAAAAACGGAAATGAGGAGAATTATCATGGAAACTACTCTGGGTTTCCTGCAGAAGGGAGATGCAGATATAAGTGTAATTAGTAAATAAGAAACAGAGAAACCATCTGATACATTTTTTAGAGCTGGGTGTAGCATGGAGGCTGGACAAAATGCAGTAGAGAGAGAATCACAGTAAGCCAATACCCATTTGGCAAAAGCAATCCTGTCGCCTGCATCTCTGTGTGCGAGTCATTTTTTCACTTACCCTTAAGCCCAGATTTCCACCTGAGTCCGCTGGGTCACCTTTTTCTCCCTTCAGGCCATTCATACCAGGGCGACCCTGCAAATGGCAGCAAAACAGCAGAGTCACCTTAAAGGGCCCCTGCAACCACACAGGGCTAATGTGGAGCTCGTGCTCCAAGCAGCCAACATTTCTGTTGCTCACATAAGGCTGGGTGGAAGGGCAGAGAGAAGTGACGGCTCCAAATTTGTCTATCAGCGGCTCCTAAATGGCACTTCTGCGTCTTAAAGCCTCAAAAGTGGGAAGAACTACACTGTAGGTCTGTCTGCCGCGAATGCTGACTAGACTGGGCCTGCGGGTTGGGCAGCCAACATGGGGGTAGAATCAAAGGGTTCATACACTTCTCTCTCCTTCGAGAGAGAAAAAATAGCCAGGTTCACACAACATGACAACCCATGGTGGGTAACTAAGCATGGTGGGTTGTCATGTCGTCTGAACCCAGGCCACTTCCCACAGTGGGGCTCATTTTTCAGCGAACAAAGCCATCTTGACAATCCATTGCTGGTTCTAGGACTGTTTGAAACACAGTGGGTTGTTGTGTCATCTAAACCCAGAGAGAGCGTTTAGAAAAGACAGGGAATCACACAAAATGCTCTAAATGGAGCCATGAAAAGGGAAGAAGGGGCTTAAACTTTCTCCTTTCTGAAGTATCTGCAGACTGTCACCCCACTTCCTCCACTTTGCCACTCTCCCTTGGAGAGCTGAAACAGAAGGAAACTGACTGGGCAACACTACACTTATTAGACAATCGTAAGAGCACATCTGTGCAGTTTGAAAGACCACCATGAACAACAACAATAATCAAAATATGAACACAACAGCAACATTCATTAGGATTTCATTTTTTAATTTCTTAGTTGTCCAATCCCTTGTGAATGAATATGGAACATATTAGAAATCTGATTTCCGCAGCCTCTCATCTACTACCTACCAAGCGGAAAATGTTTACTAAAGGATGCTGAATTTACCCCCTTCTCTTTCTACCTTATTTACAAGAAAACATTATATACCAGAAGAAACCTGAAAAAACATTCTTACTGGTCTTCCAGGGAATCCAATTTCTCCTTTTTGTCCATGCCGTCCAGGTAGCCCCTAAGAGAAAAATGGAAAATAACAAAAATAGTCTGGATCAGAAAGATGGTGCTTGTAAATTCTGAGTTGATGGCTATGATACAATACCATGGACTATTGGATCTGTTCTTTTTAACAGCAAACATGCGTGATGAGTGCCAGCCCCCAGGCAGCCCAAATGGGGTAACAGAAACCGCAAGAGAGGTAAGCGTAGCTCCCACACGGTGAACATCCTTAAAGGGCATGGCTCACAGACAGACATCCCCGTAAGCTCAGAGCATGCTCAGTAATTACAGCATGTTGCATCTCAACTGGAAAAGCAGGGAAGGGGGAAGGAATGCTGGCTCGCTCAAGCCCCCTTTTGCTGCAGGTTCCACTTGCAAGCCCGCCAAAATGAAAAGCCATGCTGCATGGTCGGTATTAGGGAAAGCAGCAGTTGGAGGTGACAATCGATCCTACCATAAGGCATATTTTAAATGCTTGATCAATCAAAATATTGGAACTACAACCCCTTTTGTGAGTTCTCAGAGCTTGTAAATTCTTTGCAGAAAAGCAAAGATACCATTCATAACTTACTGGTGGTCCCATAGGTCCTTGTAAGCCTGGTTCACCCTGTAGACAAAAATAAAAGTGATGTGGCAAGTACCCCATTATTCAGAGGACGGATTGTTTCATGTATTGGGGGCAGTTGCTGTAGAAGAGACGGGCAGTTCAGAACTTTTCCAACCCTGAAGATGGATGGCTGAAAATACAGTAGTGCCATCTCTTCCACAGCTTAGGGTGTCCTTTTTTATTGTCAGCCATTGCTGAGGGGGTTTTCTCCTCCTGCCAGTCCCAGTGATTGAGGGGGAAGAGGAACCCATCACACACACACACACGGCAACTTACATAGGACTGTTCAGACACACTGTTGCTGGCCAGCTATGTGGGCTGTTGACATCAACAGGAACTCTTAGCTACAATGTGCTTGCATTTTTATTCTTTTTATATGTAGGTGATCGTGGTTGCAGGTGGGTTCTGGTTCCTGCCAAAGAACCAACCACTGCTGCTGTCAGTCAGCTGCATCACTACAGCCTGCCAGGAATGCTCCTTCCTTTCCCCAGCAAAGAACTGCTTGGTGCAAAAGCCACCTCCGATCACTTGGGAAATCCCGTTTCAAGAGCTGCTGGCACACACCACACGGAGGGCATGCAGGGGCCTTCCATCTCAGATCATCAAAGAGAAAAGGGAAGCTTAAGGGCAAAAGCACAACTGGATCAGGGACTCTCACTCTTTCCTTCCTGTTAGGAGGGTCTCTGTCTAGAGATACCCCTCAGAAAGGATATTCCCACACTTCTGATTGCACAAGAACAGAGCAACATTCTTCACATGAGAGCTGAATACACTTATTTCTACCTTTTCTCCTTTTGTATTAGCTGCTAGGTCCGTTCCATCAGGGCCAATGATAACTCCCGGCTCTCCCTTTTCACCCTGCCCAAGAAACAAAAGGCAAGAATGAAGACAAACCTCAGCAACACGAGAACTTCTCCATGAATTAAGTGATGAGCAAATGGGCCCCATATTATGAGCAACTCTAGCATAATGATCTTGTAGAAGGTGTAACAGAGTTGAATTCTCTAGTGGTAATTTGGGGACTAGAAGCACTTGAGGAAGCAAGCACTAACTTCATGCCAATTCTCTCTCCATTTCAGCTGTATTTTATTTCACGTGCCTGGTCATCAGCCTATGAAGATACTTCTCCAAGGCTTTCTGTCTGAAAGATTCCCCACATTTTCTTGTGACTGCAGAGTAGCACTACATTGGCTAAGGACTGGTTTATATGATACACTGCTTGCTCCTACCACTCCCATATACATGGCCATATGTACTGATGAAAAGTGTCAACCAGGCAGATCCTCTCTATCGGCCAGAAGAAAGCTCCGTGACTTTTCCCTTCTTTAAGACAATAGCTGATTATGCCCTGTGCTTGTATTTGCAAGCCTGCATGAGCAAGTAAGCATGTCTGAACTGGCTATACATGTGCTCTTTTCTAGTTCATCCAGCAAGAGCCATGTGCTACTCCACATCCTTCCTGCTGACTTCTTCTAAGGGGATAACTCATGGCCAGCTCCACGTTAGGCCTTCTTACACAGAGATTGTTGTTCTCTGTGCAGTTGCTAAAACAGCCAAAGGTCTTTGACTGTCATTTCCCAAAGAAGCAAATAAAACATCTTAAGTAATTTTACGCAAAAACACACACCCAACGAAACAAAACACACACACACACACACACAAAACAAACAACAACAAAAAACAAGCAAAAATACTGGTAGGAATAATCATTTGAGTTCACTGACTGTTTTCAGCCAAACATACAGCTTCTCTCTGATGCTCCAAATTCCACCGCATTTCACAAGAACATCAGTACAATCATTTCTTCTGTACCAAATGTCTCATTCCCAACACAAACATGATATGCTGTACCTTCTGTGCCCCTAATAAATCATCATAAGGCTGAAGGAAGCCCAAGATAGAATGGCTGGTAATTTGGACAATGGAAAGGGAATTAGACAGAAGGCAACAAGCGCAAGGATTCTGCTAGTGATGGAGGAATCCCGACTGTGCTGGTCAACTAACAAACTGACAAGTACAAGAAAAGCACTTAGCGCAGTCTTACCTTCAGTCCTGGAGGGCCTTGAACACCTGCGATTCCTGTGTCCCCTTTTGGTCCCACTGGCCCCTGTGAATGCAACCATGGGAGAATGCATCCAGTGTTCATCCAACAGTATATTTACAATTTAGTCTACCTAATTTTGAAAGTCTACACTTACATAGATAAGACTTACTGCTTAAACGTAGGTAAGTTTCAGCATTAAGTTCGCCAGCCTTTTCACCCTAATAGCTTTACTGAAACTTGCTTTTTTGTTGGCCTATTTTATGTTGGTCTGCCATCCAACACTCCTCACAGTCCATCTTTTCAGGGCTGAGGGTCAATGGAGCAATCCATTTTTTCAGGCTTATTTTTTCTAACTAGAGACCCTTTTACAGAGGATATGAAAAAACTATAGAGTAGCATGGCCTTCCTTCTTTTATCTGCTTGCCCTTTTCTAAACATAGAACCATGCAAACGATTAGCCTTGGAATGGTTACTTTCCAGCCTTCAGAAAGCTGATGGTGAGAAAAAGTGAAGAGCCCTGTTTTAAACCCAATCAGGCTGACAAAGTGCTGGGACTCTAGGCTTCCCATAATATCAAGTGCATATGTACCTTCTCCCTGTTGTAGACTTACAGGAGGTTTGCTATGTTGTTCTTTGTATAGAAACATATTCTCTAGCAGAAGAAACCATTTAGTCTAAAAAGGCACGGAAGGGTAGGTTCCCACAATGCAAGAGCAGCAAGGGAGGTGCAGCAGAGCTGCAGGAATAGTTTGCTGGTCCCCGCCTATAACATTCAGAGGAAAAAACTGGCAATCCCCCAGCATCATACACACCCTTGTTGTATTGTTTTGTTCTCTGTGCAGCATATCCAACCCGCAATACATAAAGTAAGTAACAAAAACAGCACCACTGTGTCATTATCAGCCTTCAAAGGTGCTCCCCTTTACATCAGGCTTGCTGGAGGGAAGTTGCCAGCTGGAAAGGCCCTGTAGCAGTGAAAGAAGCTCCCCAAGCCTGGACCAGGGCACCCTGCCTATTTCACTGCACTCTACAGTCCACATGCATTTATTCCAAAGGCCCATTTCTAGAACAAACTGTTGCTAAGCCTGCAGAAGTGTTAACGACTCAGTGGAAAACAAGCAAACTGGGGCAACTGCTTTTCCAAATGTCTAAGTCAATAAGCCCTTAAAAAAACAAGTGCAAGTCATGGTGCTGAGCTAGAAGTTGCCTGCAAGACTGCTAAATAGCTGGAGGTGTGCAGAATAAACTGGGCTTGATGATCTGTCTGTCTGTCTATCCATCCACTCACACACACATACATGCAATGAGAAAACACACCAATAAAGATATTTTGTGAGTGGCAGTGAGCAAATTTTGTAATTGTGCGCAATGCTGAGTTAAACATATGCCTCTTCCTCCTGCTTTCAACAGAGGGGTATGAAAACAAAATTCAGTCCCTTGGCATGCCCTATCCCTGGGTTGTTACAAAGATTTACAGCTGCTGAAATCTTATGTTATGAGCCTTATGAAGTCACTATGCCTGGGAAAGCTGATAAAATACTTACTGGGAAGCCAGCATGCCCTTGTTTGCCCTACAGAGGGAGACAAAAGTTATATCACCTTAACTGGGCGGCAACAGGATATTCATTATACAAATGTAATGAATAATAACAGCAACAGGAAATGGCTTCAGAAAATAAAGTACCAAACTGTTCATGCTGATTTTAAATTGTCTGGTGTTTCCTTAAACACAATAGAGATGTGTATTTCATTTTAGATGAAGTAGCTAAAAGAAGGAATGTACCTGCTCACAAGGGGAAAACTGCATTCTTAACGTGAAACCTAAAATATACCCTAGCTGCATTTTTGGTAAATGGCACTAAAAGCAGAATTTTCAGAACTGCAACAAGCATTCATGGGTCCTCTCTCTCCTGCATGGCAGGCATGGGGAACCTTTTTGAATCCAGCGGTGCATTGGCTGCTGGCAAGCATGCTGGAAGCCATGCCAGCGACAGGTGGTGTCCACATGCCAAGGAAAAGCGGCAAACTGGCCATGGAGGGAAAGAAGGCTCTTCTACGATTCCCCATACAACGTGCTGCATTTCTGCACCACGGAGGGAGAAAAAGTTTCCCCTTCTCACTGAGCCTCATGCAAAGTCAGTAGACCGACCATGGAGAAAGGGCACCAGCTTAGTCTCAATGGGAGGTTTGCTGCTTTGCCCAGCTATTTATCACACAGCAGGGAAAAGCTCTTGCCTCCAGGTAGCTATGGAACAGATCTTTCCCCTACCTTGGGAGAAGGCAGCAGGACATGGAGAAGAGACTCTCAGGCCAGAAGGAAAATCCCAGCAGGTATATCCTGTCTGTAGGCTGGGGATTCTCCATAGCATCAATGGCTTGCAATAGCCAATTTCTTAGGGCAAGAATACATAACCTTCAGGTGAGGACATTTAACCCAAAGTTCCCTTTGCAATGCTTCTGTTCAGCCTTGTAAAGGATATTAGTTACATAACAGCCACTGAAGCTCTGAGTTCCTTCTCTCTGTGTGTGAGATTGGTGTGTTCACCCTTCCATTAAAATTAGGTTTCCAATCCAAGTCCAAATGTGGTGGGTCAAATAAAAGGCCAAGAGAAAGGCTAATAGACAGGTTCCATCCATTCCCACTCTTGCTTCTGAAGCTCTTGGTAAAAATGATTTGCAACTTTAATGTTTTTGCTGATCTTTGCAGATATCTGTGGATGCAACATCTACTACAATGCCCATCAGCTATGTGCTAATCTCTCATTCAACTATTTCTATTCCTAGGGGGTAGTCAAGTTAGTCTATTAGCAGCAAGAAACAACAAAGGGTCCTGTGAAAGCTTCAAGACCAACCATTTGATGATGGCATAAGTTTTCACAGATACAGTCCCCTGCATCTGATGAAGTGGACTGCATCTACAGAAGCAATTAATTTGTTCATCATTCAAGTGACCCAAGACTCAGTGTTGTTCTAAGTATTTCTGTCCTCTTAAGGTTTATGTCAATTTGGCAGTCCATCACTAGGATCTATGTGAATTGAACCACTAGAACAGAGTTAGCGTTTTACTTACCTCTGGGCCCGGAAAAAGAGATAATTTTTTCTATGAAACAAAAACAAAAACAGAACAATGTTCTGCTTAAAATGTGGCCTTTACTGTCATTCCACACATTTCGTCATAAAACATTACAAGAGGACAAACTAATTGTCAGTCCAAAGTCCATTCAAGTGCCACAAAACTCTTACCACTGCCCCCAAATGGTTTCATCAGATCACATAAATCAAACCTGCATCCAGGAGCTATTTCTACCATTATTTCACCATTCCCATTAAATCGATGGTAGTGGTTAAACATGGCTGTGGGGGAACTATTTAATATTACAACACTTTTTTCCAGGGAGTGAGGTTCAGCTGCCTTAAATCAAAATCTCTACTATGCAATCCTATGCATATCTTTTCAGAAGTAAATCCTACTACACTCAAAGACCTTTACTCCCAGGTACATATGCATACCTTTGCAGCCAATGTCATTTAGACAAATCCATCACGAGCCTCATACCCAACTAGCACACGGAGGCTTGGTGTTATTGTCCAGAAGCATAAAGGCACATAATTATCTCCAAGATAACAGCTCTAATCACCTTTATTGCATTATTGGCATAATTCAGTGGCTATCCTAGCACAATAATGTACCATTTATTGATTTCTATTTAGTCAGCTTTATCTATTAGTTACTGAGTTGACCTTTTCTTCAACCTGCTACAAAATTTCTCATTAACTACGAACCTTTTCAATCTTCTAAATTGATTATACTGGGAACTAAACCCATAGGGTTTTCTGAGCCAAAACATAAAATGCGGGGGTGGGGGGAGGTTGCATGTTAACCCCCTTTTAGCACATTCTGGAGACAAAGAACACAACTTTGAAGAAATGTTTTGAACATTTTCTAGAGGCGTGTTCTGGCAGGAAGGAAATAGCAGTTCAGCTTTCATTACATTTCATTATACTGACATTTTCATAGTCCATGCAGGTCTGGAAAATATAAAAGTAACTTGAAACTGCAAATGAATCTCTACCAGAATAATAGCATTGGGGGACTCAGGCCATCTGGGTTCTAGCTCCCGCTAAGCCATGCAGCCAACTGGGTGACTTTGGGCCTGTCACAGAATCTCAGCCCAACCAACCTAAAGAGTTGTTGTGAGGATAAGATTGAGAGAAGGAGAATTATGTGAGCCACCTTGGTTTCCTTAGAAGCAAAAAAGCAGGATATGAATGAATGAATGAATGAATGAATGAGATAAAAGAAGCTGAGCATGAACTTGTACTTGGACACTTAAAAGCTATCAGTGTACCATATGGGTTCTATTTCTAAAAATCATAAATCTTGCATGACTCAGATCAGGTAAGACTTGGGAACTTATTCACTGGAAAATAGTTTTTCTCCCAGAATATCTTGGAAACAAGGCTTTGTGGTTCCACAATAGTAGTTATTAGTTAGCTGAAGCTGTTTAGAGTGAAGTCAGCTCCATAAAGCTTATAAAAATATGGAAGTGATTTCTGGAACACTGAATTCTGTAATTTGTCTCTAGCTTCAGAAGTAACAGGATTCTGGAAAAAGGAAAGAAAGGGTTCTGTAGAAAACACAAGTATCCTTACATCATCACTTGACTGGTAGATGACTTCTCCTGGGGGGCCTGGGGGGCCAGGAGGACCTGGCAGTCCTATCCCATCTTGTCCTCGTTCACCCTTGAAAGAAAGAAGCAGAGGGAGAGGTTTTATAGAAGTTCGTTCCAAATGTTCTTGACAGCACACATTTCAGCCAACTTGTGCCACCCCTTTGGCATTAGGGAAAAGGTTGTATATAGCAGAATGCTCCAGTTTTAACAGGGATTTTGAACCAGTGGTTGAATATGCTAGGTCAATCAGACCTCCTCATTCTACTTTTAGGGTGCTTCCAGACAGATGGCTCCTAGCATCTCCAGTCAGAATGGATCATGAAGCTATTCCATCCTTAATGAAAATGCTTACTTTATTTTCTGTGGTAAGGAAAAAGAAGGAAGAATAGGTGTGAAAACACCAAAGAGTTAGAAGCTGAAGTCAACAAGACTGCCTCCCCACAAGAACCAGGTAAAATTCTGTGTATGATGCAGGGCAATTACATGGCGAAAGCCTAGTCTGGAAGCACCTCGGTGTGATTAGGTCAGCATTCTGCTTGGGCCTCTACAATTGCCTGCTCAAGCACTCAGACAAGGAGCAGTCTTCATGCTGGTCACTCATTCCTTGGCTCAGCATTGCTTCCCCCTGATTTCCCATGAGAGGCCTGACACAGAGAATCTTTCGGCTCCATACATCTATGGTGGCCACTAAACCAATGGGGAGAGAGATGAACATCTGGAGAAGAGGGAAGTTGGGAATACATGTTAGACTATGTTACTTGCAAAGGAATATATTGCCTTTGAAATGTTTTTAAAGGCACATTTTTAAAAACCAATGACTGTTGCCGCAAACAAAACTCATGTTTTGAAAATCACACACTTACAGATGTACATGCACACACGCACACACAAACATTAGTTTCTCAAATGCAGAACAGTACTCACCTTAACCCCTGGATCTCCTGTATCACCCTTTGGCCCCTGAAATGAGACGTCTGGTCAAATAAACGCCTTCTCAGGGAGGGAGACCTTTTCACACAACAGAGCACAGTTTCTAGTGGTGGAATAATGTGCAAACGGCAACCCGTGTGGTCCAGCTGATGCAGGCTAAGCTCCCACTTCAGCCCTGAACTCACTGGGTGGCTTTGGGTAAGCTAGCAATGCTCAATCTGTTCCCCATTTATGAAGAAGAACAGTGACCCCTCTCTCATGGGTTAATGCAATCATTACTGTGTGTACTGAAAGCTATACATAACCACAACAAATATTTGAGGTGTGTAATTGCTTACAGATGAAAAAAGCAACACTGTCCCCCTGAGATAATTGTTCAAGAGGCCACAACTGCTGTATAGTAACAGTCCATTTTCACCAGCAGGCTCATGCTTTTGCACTTCCTGAAGTGCTGTATGTATGGTTATCTTACTATTGCAGTTCCAAAGGCCAGAACGTTTCAAAAAGAAAAATTATTCAGGCATCTTTTTCTGCAAGTTTGTCAGCAAGAACTTCCTTGAGTATCCTTTTTTGGGAAAAGATAGGCTATACACGTACTACATAACTCTTGGAAGAAAGGTTTAATATTAGAATTCTGAAGCAGTGGCTACATTGAAATACATGCTTACTTGTGGTCCTGGGAATCCCTCTAGCCCAGGGCGACCATCCAGCCCTGGAAGTCCAGGGTCTCCCTGTAAAACAGAGCAACAGGGTAATATGGAATCTGAGACTTCACCACAAATGCTAGTCAGCTATCCAGTCCAACCCCTAGTGATATATTTTAATAATACATTAGTAACATTAATAACAATTTCTTAAAATAATATTCATGAGAGTGGAGGCAAACATTACTCAGGCTTATTATTCTAACTTACCTTCATTCCTGGCAAACCTGGAAGACCAACGCTGCCCGCATCTCCCTGAAAGGTAACACACACACACACACACACAAATAGACATAAGGCTTATTTTTACTGGCCATCAACCATCTACTCTGTACTTGGTTTGTCTATCTTTTGCATGTGTAAGCTAGACACCAAGGAATGCAGGTGGTATCTATATAAGGTAAAGGTTTCCCCTTGACGTGAAGTCCAGTCATGCCTGACTCTAGGGGGCGGTGCTCATCTCCGTTTCCTAGCCGAGGGAGCCAGCGTTTGTCTGCAGACAGTCTCTGTGGTCGTGTGGCCGGCATGACTAAACACCGAAGTGCATGGAACGCTGTTACCTGCCCACCGAAGTGGTGCCTTTTTATCTACTTGCATTTGCATGCTTTCGAACTGCAAGGTTGGCAGGAGCTGGGACAGAGCAACGGGAACTCACCCCGTTGTGCAGATTCGAACCAGCGACCTTTCGATCAACCAGCCCAGCAGCACAGCAGTTTAAACCACTGTGCCACCTGCATCCCTTGGTATCCATATACACATCCGTAAAAAACTTACTCTGCATTTAAAGGTGTACCCATGCCAGTAGGGCAGGATTTGTGACAACGCTATAACATAAAGCAATTGTGTGCACATCTGCCTGTGTTCTGCTAGTGAAGTTGAAACACTGATTCTAGGCAACTGGTCAATATTCATCCTTGGTGAGGAGTGCATTGTATTTGCATGAGAAGGCTATCCTGGCCTTGTTGACATAAATAGGACTGCACTCAGTCTCACAATAGGTGCAAATGAAACCTGCCATGATCCCTCTCTATCTTTCCACAGCTGATTTATGCAAGGCCATACTCGGCATCCAGAGTTGTTACCATTGCAATGCTTGCAGTGCTTTCTTGCAACAAGGCAGTTCACAAGCATGCATGATCCACCAGTGCTTTGCATCTACTGCAATTCGCATTTTGAATTGATATGGGAAAGTATCGTCATCTGAATAGCATAACGAGGAACTCAAAAACTGAGCGCTACTAAGCCAAACAAACATTTCCTGACCTTGAGTCCTGGAAGTCCAGGGGGGCCCTATGGAAAATTAAAAAAAAGGAAGTCACCAATAAAATTATTTCATGATCTATATGAAAAGTTAGCCCCCTGAATGACATATATATTATATGTATATTCAGCATTAATTAATAGTACTGGCATGGCAGAAGCCTGTGTTAAAGTGCAAACAGGACCTGCTACTCAAAGCTTAAGTATTGCAGTCTACAGACAAGCTCTGTCTTTTCAGAGCTAGCCAGGCTCTTGACTGTTCTTTGTGAAGCAATGTGCCAATGAGAGGCATGTGTCCTTTACCGCTAGTATGCTTGTTTCTGCAACAGCGATAGCAACAGCTCAGGGTCCTCTGAAGAAGCAACAAGAAGCGCTTGTAATGCGTGCACGGGACAGGCATATGATTCTTGCGGCTGAGAGGGTCAGGATCTGATTTGTTAAGCCTGCATCCCTTTATCACTAGCAGAAAAACACGGCACATCTGCAATACAGATTATTTGCAGCCCAATCCTACACATTTGCCAAGAAAGAACGCCTGCAGTGTAATGAAACCCTGTTTGCTCCCAAGTGAGTGGCAATAGCTCTGGTGTCTTTGAGAAAGAAAAGGCTAAGCAAAGGAATGAGACATTCATTACCTGTGGCCCTTCTGGTCCACGTACCCCAGGGACACCAGAAACGAATGGCAGTCCTGAGCCCTCCATATCATCCTAAATAATAATGGATGTTATTAGTTAGTCCACTGGTATGGATCCCATAACTTTCCTCTTTGAGGTTACTCTATGAAGAATAGTCTCCAGAGATGATTGCATAAATCTTCTGAATGAACTAACGAAGAAAGGAATGAAGAAACAAACAAACAAGCAAGCAAGCAAGCAAGCGAATGTGGATAGTTATAACCCTGACAGTGGCCCAGCTAGGATGCTTAATTCTGGCTTGCTGAACCTCACTTTAGCAGCTGGGAACAAGCAGTGGGGTCAGGTGTCTGTTGCTCACGCTTCCCCCCCCCCCCCCCCCGGGCATCCACCCTGCTGTATTTAAACAAGAGTCAGCTGTTATATTGAAACCAGGGACTGCAATTTAATGCCGGCAGGCTCATCAGCATCTTAAACCAATTTCAAAGATGCTGGTTAGTAAACTGGCATTAAAAGACTGGTTCCTTATCTGAGACATAAGGGAGGGTTCACGTGACATAATGAAGCACACTGGGAAGAAGCCATGCCATTCTACCCCAAATTGGCCTGGTTAGGATGCCCCCTACTCCTCCCTCAGTTGTGGATACCCCAGCAGACCTGGCAGGAGGACCAAGGAATGATTGCTGCTGGCCCTGCTCCTTCGCTTGCATGTGGTAACCCTAACCCAGACCTTTGCCAAAAGGCTTGATGGCAACAGCACAACGGAGGGCAACCTCACTTGGCAACTGTGGCTCCCCCTGCACATCACCACTGTCTCCATAAGCAGTGCTGGCCAAGTACGGCTTGGGCACTTTGTTCACCCAGCAAGAAATCCCTGCTCTGCTGCATCTGGGCTCAGAAGACACAAGAGCTGCTGGGGTGGCTACTAACCCTGCAACAAATAAACCATGGTATGTTCACATGACACAGCAACCCCTCCTGGCTTACAAGCCAGGAGGTTGTCATGTCATGCAAATCAAGGTTACGGTGTACTGTGGTTTAATTAAACAAGGATGCAAACATTGAGGAAGGCAGATGTGGAATTGCATTTGCATGTACCCTTTCCCTCAAGATACACAGCTTTGCCCAGATTTTTTAAAACTGGAGAATCCCATTGCAAAGTTCAGAGAAGTGTGAATGTGAAGCTGGTACTTACAAATCCAGCCATGAAGCCTGGCCCTGGAGGCCCAGGCTGTCCACGGGGACCCATGGGCCCAGGCAGGCCTGCCAGGCCAGGTTCCCCTGGTGCTCCTGGCACCCCTGCATCTCCCTTGCTGCCCTGAAAGGAAAAAGAAAAGGGCAGTCTGAATCCCGGAAGGAACAAGAAAAAGATGGCCAAAGGATAGGCAAGAGCATGTCACGAGCAGGCGCATGCACGAATACATACTCAAATGCAAAATCAGAGCACTGTGTGCACAGCAACACAGTATTACCCATATATTCATACTTGCAGTGCTGCCCTCTCTCATTGCATGCACTGAGCACATTTGTAAGCACACCAGTCCAGAATGGCACACGCAGCTTCTCTGCACTCCGTAGCACGAGTTTCACACTGGTTCCAGGCCTCTTCCTCAGCCTGGTGCACAATTCAAAGCATTCCTGAGACTCAGCCACAGTGGCTGGGGCTGATGTGTGATACTCCACACAACTGAGATCAGTGAAGAAAGGAAGTATGCAAACTCATCTTGCATTTTGCAGCTGTCAATCTGCAACCTAACCGATCTGCATTTCGCTGTTCAGAACACTAGTCAGAACCTCTGTGTACTTGTGACCCATGCACACATCTATTTCTTGCACTATTGTTCATCCACAGCCTTGTGTGGCCCAAACTAGTGGTAAATATCAGTTAAGTATTCTGCTTAAGTGAGAATTCTGGAGATACATGGGCAAAGTCTGCTTCAGTCCAGGCATCTGACAGGAGACACTGGCTTCATGCCCAAAGTCTTTGTGTTTTATTTACAGAACATGCACGATAAAATGGGGAAGTAATTATAGCCTATTGGCAGTACTGCTTACAGGAAACACAGAGCACTTTCATTTAACAGGCGTGTGTCATTAGTTTCTCATTTGAAATGTTTTCACACATACGCTAAACTGAACAGTAATGCCAAATATTAACTCTAAAGACGGGAAGTGGTGAAACATGCATTCTTTTCTCTAACAGCTCTCAAGAATGCTGAGTTCGGGTTAATAAAATAAATAGAATGGGATCCTTATATTTCATTAGACATGTCCACAGGACCAATGAATCATTACATGCTAGTTTTATTAAAAATGTTCTAAGAATTAGGTCCACCACATCAAATATACCAGATGCAAAAATGTTAAAAATACCTAGAGATGTAGTAAAGTCAGATACAATATGTGGCTGGTGTTTCTCTAGATCAGCAGTGGACAAACCGTGGCCCTCCTGATGCTGTGGGACCACACTTCTCACAGTGACTGACCACTAAAGGTGGGGCTGATGGAATTTGTAGTCCAGCATATGAAGGGCCAGGGCTCCCTACCCCTGCTCTGGACCACCACCACAATTCCAGCAAGACACTCAAGGTCCAGGGGCTCACAAGCACTTTGCTGTTATTGCTGCTGCTGCTTCTGCTGTCTCCATTCATATATGGGATTCTATTATTTTGACAAGGAGACAATATAATTAAATTGTGCACACAAAAGCATGCATGGTGATGTTACCTCCATTCTTGGGTTCCCCCTATATGGGAGTGTGTAGTAGTAGGAAAGAAGCTCTAATACATCGGGGGGAACAGGAAGCAGAGCATTCTGGTTAGATGGAAAGTGTGAATGAAGACAAGAAGAAAGCAGGGAAAGAATTATGTGCCTAATTATCTGTGATGGAGAACAACTTCAGACTTACTGGATTCCATTTTCAAAACGTCCTTTATGTGCTGAGACTCATTGCAAATAGAAAACTAGCACAAGAGGGGGTGGGCCACGCTAGTTTCACCCTCTGATATACCAGGCTTTGTTTATTTTTTATTTACAGGATTTTTACACAGCAGCATTTTCAAGCAGTATTCGCCACCTGCAGTCTGAAGAAGTACATCTACTCTGCATCTCAGGCCACTGCCTCTGAATTCTACTGGAGGGGTAGACCAGGTGGAACACAAAACACTGGGAAGGGCAGCTTATATGCAGAGTCAAGACAAGCATGCAAGGTATTGAAATGCTGACTGGATTTGTACTTGCAGTGGCTTTATGACTGTATGTGAATGGCTGCTATGTGGATTATAATTGAACCCACTTTTGGATACATAGTGGTGGGAATGATGAAATACTGCATGAAGTTGCAAATCAAACACTGAATCTGAATTTAGAACATCCCCATTCTCCTACATAGAAGGTGGGCTGGTTGCTGTCTCTTCCATCCTAATAGATTGGAAGCAGGCTATGCATCTACCTGTGCTAAGGCAAAGATGCAGGGAGAAAAGTGAGGCAGAGGTCCTTCTCTGGGAGCCCTCTTTGAAGGAAATTAGGAGGGTAGCTACCTGGAGAACAGCCTTTTCAGCAGTGGTGCCCCAGCTTTGGAACATGCTCCCCAGGGAGGTTCACCTGGCGCCGTCGCTTTACTCTTTTTGGTATCAGGTGAAAACCTTTTTATTTTCCCAACATTTTAATATTTAATTGGTTTTATCTTCGATTTTATCACTAATTGTTGGATGTAGTGTGTTGTTTGTTGATATGTTGTTTTTTGTAAGCCGTCCAGACTGCATTGGACGGCATATAAATACTTTGAATGAATGAATGAATGAATGAATGAATGAATGCCTGGGGGAGAGGCTGGGAAGTTCAGGAACTGGGCACAAAAGGTATTTCCTGACAGCTCTGTTGCTTCCAGGTGTTTGCTTGCAGTAGCAACTCCTTCAAGGCCATCATTTTAAACAGTCATACAGGACATAAAGAGGAAGGGGAGAAGGTGCTGGGAAGAACCGGCAGGAGCAGAGCTAATGGCTGAACACCACAGCAGCCAGAATGTAGACTAGGAAAGCAATGAAGGCAGGACCAGGGGAGCTCAGTCAGAGCAAAGGTGGCCTTGAGAGTCCCTGCACAGACGTCTTTGTGGGCAAGGGAACAGGGTTAAAACTAGTTCCAGGTATTCACCTGCTTGCTTCTTCACCTGCATATGCTAAATAAGAGTGTTATTACAAAGGAAGTTCTAGCACTAACAAGGAGCTGAGGAAACTCTGCAGAGAAGACGGCCTTTCCTGACAATTCTGGTGGTATGTTATAATAGAGAAAAAAACATGTAGGCTTTTCCATGGTATCCACTGCACACTAGTAAGGCATCTTAACTATGTATTATAATATTTCTATCTCTATCTCAAGCTCTATCTACCTCTATAGATATATGTATACATATAGATATATAAAAGTAGATATGCTTTCTGGGGCATACCTTCAATACAAAGGAAGGATAAAAAATGTGAAGAATTATGTAAAACTAGAAACAGGCCCCAAAGTCCCAGTTTCTAAACCACTGTGAAAACAGGCTAAGCTGTCTTCAATGATGAATCGCCTTTTTTAAAAAGCCACCATCTCTCTAGATACATTCATTGTAAAACATTTACAGTAGATGTAATACTCACCTGTGTGGTAACCATAATCTTGGGACATGCCAAGAAGGTATGGAAGGGAAGTGAGGAAATGCCTCTCCCTAAGCAGTGGGGATCTCTCACAAAGAATCCTCGGTGCTAAAACATCACAACTCCCAGTGTTCCTTGGAGCATTACCTTGAAATGAGCTTCAAAGTGATGCTTCTCCCAGAAACACTGGACCGTTTCTGATACATGTTTCAAGGTGGTTTTAGATTCATGGCACAAAAGTGACTTGTGAACTGAAAGTAAATGCATGGACTCAGAAAAGCTTATTGTACAGGGAGAAAGCCTTTCGAGGGGAATTGCTGTGCATTCAAAAGCAAGATGCCACAGTAACCATTTATTGAGAAAGTGAGTTATTCTACCTTAGGTCCAGGTGCTCCTGGGAGGCCTAATTCGCCTGGTTCTCCCTGGAAAGGAAAAGACTAGGAAATGAATACTGAAGTACTAGAAGCATTCTAACAAAGTAAATGCAACCTGGAGGCAGCCTCAGTTTTCAGGCTGTCCCTCACAAGCTTGCTACTGCGGCTGTATTGCAACTCATATCAAAGAACTTTCACAAAGGAGAGATACATACAGTTGTGCCCTTCAGCCCAGGCTGGCCAGCGATCCCTTCTTTTCCTGGAGGACCAGGAGGGCCCTGAAAAACATTACCATGGAAAGCTTAAGAGAAATTGTGGCATTTGTGGCATTATCCACATTGTGGCATTATCCACATTATTGTATCTTACAGTCATAACCAAGCTACCGTTTTAGCTTTTGGTGCATGCATACATTTTGAGGTATTGGTGATCAACATCCAAAGCAGAGGGACAGAAGCCTGGATTTCCCGTCTGTATTAATGTGTATTCTATCCATGCCTCTGAAATTACAACCGAAGAACTGATAGCCTAACACAACTTTGAGAGGCACTGGACAGCTTCTGCAGATAGACTCCATTACATTGTCCTCCATTAGTTTTCCCAGAATCCCCTTTAACTTACAGGAGGTCCTGGAAGTCCTGGGATACCATCCCTGCCGGGCACTCCAGGGAGGCCAGGCGGCCCTGGAAGGTCAGTACTATTCGTCCCAAATCTTCCAGGTTGTCCTGGCAAGCCGGGCACGCCAGGAGGGCCTGGGGGCCCAGGTGGTCCTCGGGGGCCCTGAAACACAACAAATGTGGTATGTGCCCCATCTGTTCTAGTCTGAACACATTAGTAAAGCCACCCACAGACTTGACTTCATGGTAAATAGCCACTTCCTGAATACATTCGTATTCTGGCCGTATTTGTCCCTAACCCACCCCATCCCAAGGGAGTATTCTTGGTGTATCCCAAAAATACAAAACTGGTTCAACACCTTATACATCTCAGGTACTTACTCGCAGGGTTTCCAAATCACCTCCAAAACCAGAGCCTTCCATGTCAATAAATGTCTGGAAGAAAAGCACACAGCTGCATAAAAGCGGGAAAGCATGCCTAGGCGGACTGGAACCAAAGCAAAGAGCTGCATGGCCCAGAGCCGCCCGTCCCCTGACTTGGCTGTCTGGCTGTGGGCTGCGCAGGGGCTAGAACTGCAAGCTAGTAAAATGTTGCAGAAGGAGCGATGGGCAGGCACAGCGCAGGGCATGCAAATACATCAGAAAAGAACAGTGCTCTCACCTCAAACTGCCTAGTTTTTATTTATACTTTAGTACCCCATGTTTTAGCCACAATGGCTCCCAGAGCAGCTTATAATAAAACATGCCATCAGAACAAAACAAAACAATACAAACTAATTAAAACGCTTCAGAGCAGAGCAGATCATAAAGTCAGCAATAAAACTGCATGAAGCCCAAGAATGAAAAGGCCTGGGCAATTAAGAGAGTTTTGCCTGGTCTCAAAAGAGAGCAGATTCAGCAAATAAGCACAAAAATATTCTAGTAAAAATATTAGGGAAAGAGGGAAATTGACCTAGAGAGGGTGGCAGATACCTGTAGTGGCAGCAGCATATTTCAGTATTTCCTAGAAGTGCTCCAGAAAGGACAGTGGCAATCAAACCAGGCTTCTCCCCATCCCTTTATTGTGACTTTCCGGAACTCACCAACTTGTCCAATTTAGAGCCGACTCCTGGTAGACCTGGTGGCCCAGGTGGCCCAGGTGGACCTCTCACACCAATGCCTTGATCTCCCTAGATGTAAAGGACAGGTTACAAAGTTGAGAATGATAGCCATGTGCAAAAGGCAACTACAGACAGAACAGTGCTTAAAAAGGTTGACTTCCGGCAAACTTGAGTGTACACCAAGAATGCACCAAGCTACATCAGGTAAAGCGACAGCTCTTACCTTTTCACCTTTTAATCCAGGCTCCCCGGGGGTTCCAGGGAATCCTTGGGGGCCAACATCACCCTACACAGGAAGTAAATAAGCAATGAGACCAAGACCTGAGAAATAAGCCAGAAAAAGAGTGAGCAGCCTTACCGCTCCCTACATGAGGCAAAGGACAGGGAGTTGGGGGCCACAACTCTCATGTGCACATGTGTGAGCATGTGTGTGTACACACACATGTACACCAAGTTCTCACCTTGGAGCTTAGGGATTTAAACCTCCTCCCCCTCCCTGCTAAATTATGTCATGCTCCCCCTCCGAATGGCAGAGCCATGTGTATGTAATTTTAGTAGAAAAATTATGGGGGGAGTGACTCTTCTCATGTTCTCCCTTCCTGTTTTACTGGACTCCTGGCAGCCTGCCACCAACTGGGATGCCCTCCCGCAACCGTGCCGGGAAAGGAGGCATGTGAAAATTCTCTCCAGCACAATCATGGCAACAGCAGGGGGAGGAGTCCAAAGTGGGGCAGAGCAGCAGCGGACCACCTGTGGTGGGCCGTCAAGAAATTGTCAGATCACTCAAAAGAGTAATGAATGCAAGACCATGATGGCCGGAACATCCTGCCATAGCATGCTATCCTTGTGACAGGGCCATTATCAGATGATAAAAGGCTCATCCAGAAATACAACTAAGCCTCTGTCTAAAGGCACCAAACACATCAAAAACCCTTCTACTATGGCGTAGGACCATTTTTTTCACTCAGAAACCAACTCTACTGATATGGGTGAACATGTTTGTGAGTGAAGCAATGCAACAGAAACTATTTTGTTATAAAATCTTAATAAATGATATTGAAGATACCATAATTAATGGTATAAAATCTTAATAAATGGTACTGAAGAGATGTTGTATTGTATTGTGTTGAACTGAATATTGTATTCTACTGATGTTGTAAAGTGTACTGAATTTCTTATTTTGACTTGTCCTCCCTTGTTTCCCCACTGCTTAGGTTGTTGGCTCTTTAGGAACAGAGGTTTATTTAGTAAGAACAAGGTGACTCAGATATGGCACAGGATGGGTTGCTGCTATAACTGATTAAGATTGCAGCTTTTAGTGGCCGGCTCCAGAATTGGGTTATTGTTTTTCAGTTTAAGGCACACAAAAAGCTGGCTTGTAATTCCCATATCAAACCAGGTAGAAAATCTGTGTGCACATTGATCTGTCCCCAGCAGCTCATACTATTCAGACTGCAATTTAACTTCAATGGAATATACTTCTGAGTAAATATCTATATGACTGCATTGTAAATATTTCTCGGTATTCCCAAAACAGAAAAGCATCACACAGCATCAGAGAAGACAAAACCATTTTAAAGGAAAGTACTGACAGAGGAACATACTTCTCTACAATGATGCCAGCATTAGTAAGCCACCCAGAGAACCCTCGAGTTACGAGGCAGCATAGAAGTACAATGAAGTAAACAAATAAACTAACTAACTAAGCCTGAAGAATTTATTTTCAAAAGAAGAAAGCAAACAGCAGAACTTACTGGTTTCCCATCTTCACCAGGATCTCCCTAGTAAGAAAAAAATATAGGCGGTCAGTAGAAGCCTGACCCTTGCGACTTCTTCATTTCAGCCCCCAGGTCCTCTTTCCTGACCACATTCTCAGCTTTCACAAGCAACTGGGCTAAGCCCATTCACATGTTGAAATGTGCACGAAATGCAGATGGCCCATCTGGCTGTAGTCCTGTCTGTGTGAAAATGGGCTGGGGGTACCATTGCATGCATGGCTATCTGAAGCATATTGGGAGTTGTATAACTTGTTTTAATCTAAACCTGCACAGGATAGCACCCTTCAATATGAAGTTGCCCAGGAAAAAAGGAAGACTGGTCAAAGAGAGTAACTGGAGGAGTGATAATGGAGAGGAAGTCATTTTGGCCATCTCTGCAAAGTAGCACAAAAGGTTTTTTAAAAATTGTAGGACTGCCAATCAAGGGAGGTACTCAGAATGCATGAGACAAAGTGAGTGAGAGAAATTAAGTTGGCAAAGCAGGAAAAAAAAGGGGTGAAATGGCTAAGGGGAAAGAAATTGTACAGAAAATGAGTGTTAGCAGATGAAAGACTGAGGAGATATTACACTATTAGCAGGATAGAGTGGCAGATTCATTTATGTATTAATGTACTTAAATTTATGTATTATAATTCTGTGCTGCCTTACTGAAAAAATGCAAGGTGGCTCATGACAATTTTAGAACATTAAAGCCATAAGCACATAAAATATAATAAAACATTAACAATCTTCAAAACTGTAACAACATTTTTAAAAACCACAAAATACAAGTTTAAAGGATATGTCTTTACTTGCTGTCTCAATGCAGAGGAAGGAGGAACCAGTTAAAATGCCACAGGGCAACTACTTTTCAGATTTTGGGAGCCACACAGAAGAAAGTCCTTTCCTGTATGCCTGACAGGTGGGTCCTGAGCAAGAGCATCTCCAAAGGGGCCTTTTCCACTCTTACAGAGGTGAGAATTATTTACATAATGGAATCCCCCTTAGCAGCATAATGTTGATGCCAGGATCTTGCCAACAGTGAGCCCTAGAGGCCAATTTAGAAACTGACCATACACCAGTCTTTACTGTAGTATTATTTTACTGTAGTATTATTTTAAATTATTGCAAACTGCTGAGATAGGTTTGACTATTGAGTGGTATAAAAATGTAATAAATACATAAAAGCAAAGATTCAAAGAGTGGAAGTAGTTTGTATATCTGAAGACTCCCTTTTCTGTGTCTGAGTAACCATAGTCTCCCCTCCCCCCCGCACTGTTCTGATGTCTAAAAGGGCTGCTTGGATACACAGAGGGCCTGAAAAATGCCATGTGTTGTATTGCAGGGAATTTAATCACATCTCTTTCACTCGAATAAATGGTAACAATAAGCTAATTAGCTACAATAGGCAAGCCTTTCTAACCCCGACATGCATTTTCCTCCATAGCACAATCTACCAATTCACATCAGTCACCCCCTGAAATGTCTACTTACAGGTTCTCCATCCTTCCCAGGCAAGCCATCCTTCCCGGGCGGTCCTGGTGGGCCCACAGGTCCCGGAAGCCCTGCGACATGCTCTACCACAGAGCCATTGGGGTGCTTGACAATGGTGCCGGGCGAGCCAGGCGGGCCTGTGGGGCCAGGAGGCCCCTGATCGCCAGGCTCGCCTTTCTGTCCTTTAGAGCCTGGGTATCCAAAGCCAGCACTTCCCTAGAGGTGAGGGAGAAATACACAGAATGAAAACAACCCAACATCATTTCTTTTCAAGTTTACAGAGACTGGAAGTGGGCATCTGCTAAACAGGAGTCACTAACTTCCTTTCCTGGCAGTCTCTGTTATGAAGACCATCCTGCTTTCCTCTCTGATGAACCCATATATTTAATCACATGTATATTTTTCTTCTTCCATCCTTCCATCTTCAACCCAAATCCCTGTCCTTTTCAAAATAATTGCTACAGGAAGCTCAGCACTAATGCTGGAAATGAGGATGTTTTGGAGCAGGGGGCCACATCCTTTCACACCTGGCATATTGCTGAATCTGTTCACATCACTAACAGCATGCAGAGGTTTGCACTCCAGTGAACCAAAGCAACACAATCAGTCCCAAGGCAAAGGATCGTGCCCTTTGCACCTGTGTGGGGCCAATCGGATGCTGCTTCCCTGCTTGCCCACTCCCCAACACGTGCAGCAGGAAGCACGAGCCATGTGCAATGGAGCAAGAGTAGGCGTGTGGCCCTTTAAGGAGCCACACAGGAATGCCCCCCCGCCCCCCCTGCTTACAGGAAGCCCAGAAAGTCTTGCTAGAAGGCAAGGAGTTCTTGTGAGTTTGGGCTGGCTGCAGGATTGTGCACGGTGTCAATGATGGTGTGGGTGGTCAAGGGGGAGATTGGGCAGCCTTCACTCCGCTGCTGGGAGGCAAGACTGAGCAGGAGGACCACCCAGGTGCTTGTAAATCCCCTCCCCTGCGTTTCGGAGGCCAGCATAAAACAAAACCAGGAGGGCCTGAGTGGCAGACACGTTTAAGCTTCCATGCCGGGGCTGGATCAGCTTCAGGAAGTTTCTCTCCTCTAATTCATCTGCTCAGTTTCCTAAAAGCTTATCAGCTGCTTAGCACTTGAGTCACCTGAACTCATCAATCTGAGGCTCTGGATAAATGATTTAAGCTATGCTCAAATCTGGGAGAGAACTACAAATCAATGATAATGAAACATGTTTATGAAGGAAAAGAGGGAAGGGGACAGAAGGAGTGACATGTTGACTAAAGGATGGCGAGCGCTATAGGGGCCCCTTCGTTTCTGCTCTTCTGGCCATGCTAGGCTGGGAATGTCCATCTGTGAATGATGCCACGCTCTTGCATGTGGGCCTCTGGCACCCTTTGAACCCTTGGCTGAATGAAATGATATTCTGCTGGATCACATTCTGATAGCCTAGTGTTTTTTTCACTTAATTTCTGAAAAAAATACTTCTTTCTCTTTGGGTGGTGATGTTGGTTTTTTGCACCATGCTGTAGATTGGGGTGGGAAACAATTTTGGGTCCTAAGGTCAGATTTCCACTCCAGCCGCATGATACTAGGGCATGGTCACGCCCCCAGTACCCTCTGACTCGGCTTCAGTGCATGCCAACTTTCCTCACATGCACCAAAGTGCCCTCCAAAAGGAAGGACCCTCCTTCACTCCATGGTTGGTCAGGGTGGCTGCACTGGCCATGCCTTCCCCCACTGGGGAGGATGTGGGGCAGACAAAGCATCACATGCCCTCCCAACTGGACAAGTGGCACATCGGTGCGCTACTGAGATGAATGGGGCATGAAGAGGCACCCCTGCTGTTTCTCCCAAGCCCCACTGTGATCCTCACTAGTCTCTGGCGGTGAGAGCCTGGGGACAGGGCGGGGAGGGACTTAGAGCTAGAGTCCAAACCTCTGAAGGCTGGAAAAGGAGTCTCCACGGGCCAAAAGAGGCCCAGCCTGTGGAGGCTCCCAATCATGGCTGTGCACCAACATCACAGCCTAGTTTCTTTCTCTTTATTAGCACACAGACAAGATCAGATCAGAAACCACGCCTTTTTCTGGAACATTCTGGACAGTTACTCATTTGGTACCGCTGGGCTAAAAAACAAACCAGGTGATTCATTTTGACTTTTCTATGCTGAATCTCTTGATAAAAGGGCTGAGCAGAAAACCACAACCATGTGTGCCTAAGTATATGAACAATGGCATGTGATTTTGGTTCCGAGGCTTCAAGAATTCCACTGAGTACAAGCTTACTGCTGTCCCCATCTCCCTGTGGGCTTAGCACATCAAGAGGCAGGGCTCTGATTGCCATGGAGGAATTCTTGCTAAAAGCATGGGGATCCTAGGCGGAGGCATTTTAAAGTTCCATAAAAACAGTGGGAGTGTGGCCATGCGAAGTGCTCCTGTTCAGGGTTCTAGACAGAGAGCCAGCCAAGCCATTTTCTAAAATATTCCCACCTTGACCATTTCTCAATTTTCATCTCCCGCCATCAACAGCTAGCAGGTTGTGGCTACCACACATGCTCAGTTCTCACTGATTGTTTTGGGCTATGTCTCACTTTTCAGGCTTTCCCTCCAGTCCAAAGGACTTTGTTGTCATTCTTGTTGCTGCTGCAGCTGCTGCTGTTATCATTTCTGAAGACCCTGGGGTCCTCCTGAGCCTCCTGATACTTTCCCTCCCCTCCTATATGTGGATGAAGATGTTCAACTGCATGCAGCATGGCTAAGTTCTATATATATATTCCTTTGCAGAAATCTTTTGTGGTACACTGCCAGAGAGCTTCGGCCACAGGCAGAAAAGAAATGAAATAATAATAATAATACCCAAGTACATTCCCATCACAGAGCTCCTTTGCACATTTTTAGAAAGCAAACAATGTAGCAACTGTAGTCACCTTAATGCCCAGTTCTCCTTTTTCGCCCTGCAAAAAGAAGCAGCAAAGCTTTTCAGCACAGCATAACTAAAATCAGTCTAACAAGCAGCAGAATGCAGTAAGCAATAAGCAGTAAGGTTGCATTACTTGCACCTGGGGGGTAAATTAATGTGTCTCTCAGGAACAAACACTCGAAATGTTGCCCCCGCCAAAGCGCAAGTTTTGTCCAAGCACGAAAAGAGAGCTTCAGTGTTAGAGGCACAGCAAGGAGCAGCTGCCTTGTAGTGAGGGAGCACTCCTATGACCTGCACGGGTTGCCTTCTGCCTTCCCGGTCACACACACAGCTGCTTTTGTCTTTTCACTCACTCTGTCATGAGGCCAGGGTTCTACCCTCCCCATGCGAAAAGAGTGGCACTAGGAAAGTTGTTCTCTAGCTTACAGTTGCTGCTCCGAATACACGTCTTCAGTACAAAATGTGCCTATGGAGGGATGGCTGCCTTCAAGCAAATGGAAAGGTGTGGTGGCAGGAAGTACTTCCGTCCATGATCAGGAGCACAATGCAAGCAGGTGCAGATGGGTCCTGCCTCCCCTTGAACACCTCCAGAAGAGGGAAGTGACTCCCCTACTTCTGGCCCTTCTAAATGTTTTTGTTCTCTGCGCTTCTGCTCCCCACTCTCTTTCCAGCCTCGCCTCACCCCTCCAAGCAGGAAAATCAAGGCAGGAGCACTACCACTTCCATTCATCAAACCTTGACCAGCTTTGGTGGTATTTCACTCATTGCACGCTTTTAAAAAGTGAGAAAACCCCCTTTTTATTTCATGCAGGCAGAACATCTGAAAGGACTGGAGTCTCATGTCGAAAAGTAAAAAGGGGTCAAGCTTTGTCCGCTTGTAGTGAAGCAGGTGATGGCAGGTGAGTTCCTTCTTGAGACCAGCACCGTCAGGGCTGCCACCCTCAGGGGAAAGTAGCAAAGGGGAGCTGTACCACATCGCTTTACCTTTTCACCTTTTGCACCGTTTGTTGACAAAACTCCACCAACTCCAGAGTCTCCTTTAGAGCCACGTTCCCCTTTTTCACCAGGGTCGCCCTTTTGACCTTTGGCTCCAACTATGGGAGAAGTAAAAAGAAAAAGAAATTGCAACTATCTGTTCTGGAAAAGAGGGAGGCATAGCTGCAAAATGGGGGAATGAATATCAGTAGCTTGACATTCAGGTCCAACATAAGAAAGACTATCACAGATAACTGGATTGTTCCTCTTTCCTGTCTGTTATTGTGAATGACGTATCAGGGAATTTTGGGGTTTGTTCACTGATAAGCATGGCACTTCACTGAATTATTAGATACGGTAAGTTCTGCTAATGCTTTTATAACCATGCTCATAATATATATCTCCTCTGTTCCAAAGCTCCATAGAAAGAGCAATGGCAGGTACCACATAAAAAGATGGCTCACTGAGCTTCTCCTCAGCTGTGGTCTAAGCCCCATTTCAAAATACTTCACAACTTAAATGGTGAACTTGCATACTGTATTTCAGGTGGGAATTGATTATTCATCTATTTGTTTCTGTATGGCTTGATTAAAGTATAGCCAAAAAACTGGGCTACAGATAGAAAGATGGTAACCTTCCAGGTGCTGTCCATGGCCAGTCCTAAAAACATGTGGAATTTGAAAACTAAATAGTCATCACCTTAACTCTGGTTTCTGTATTTCGGTTCTCTGGGCAAACACCACAAAGGTTTGCCTGAGGCAAAGCTCAACATGAGGGAGGAAAGACATCCAGCGTTTTGCATTCCACTCATTTCCACACAGCACCATCAAGAGAATTGTAATTATACCCTGTAATCTTCCCCACAATTTTTAACAGGATGGTTCCGAGGTTAGAGAAATTAGCCTTACCCCCTGAAGCAAATGGCGTCCCTGCTTCCAACTTGGTAAGTTCAGTTTCCAAAGTAAGTTTCTCCTCTGGCTGCGCAGGCTTTTTGACAGTGGGGGGAGAAGTGGGGGGTGGAGGTAATGGTAGACTTGAGATCGTTGAAGTCACCTGGACAAGACAACAGGATTAAAGCAAGCTTTTATCTGTACTACAGTAGCCAAGCTAAGGCAAATTCTTATTTGCAAATTGTCCAGTTCAATCTGGACTAAGTTATCCACACTTTATTAGAAAAATAATGTTAAGTCATGCTAGTATTTTCAAAGATATATTTACTGCAATGGACTGGCAGAGTGGATATAAAATAAACAAATATAAGCGGCCTTTGTGGCCTTATTCTGTGCATATTTACTTGAAAACAAGGCTCACTGATTTTAATGGGGCTTAATCCAGGGATGGGAAGAAAATACAGGCAAACAACACAGGAGGATGATAGGCTATTAAAGTGTTTGGTGGTGTTATAAAGTTTAACAGAGTATGCACTTTTACTGTTATCCTCAATTACACAATAGGAATGTTTATTTTCTAAACCTCTTCATTTCTCCTGTTTCCACATGATCTGTTGAAGTAGACATAAAAGCTTTCTTTCATTGACTTCCATCTATTTTTTATATATTTTTCTAATTATTATTTTTCAAATGACAAAAGCAACCGCATACTTGGATACTTCACAATGCAGCAGCTCCTATCTCTGTATCTTACACTAGTCATGCTTGTAATTATTTTTGGAATAATAAAGGCAGAGCAATCCTATGGCATCAAGGGAAGGAATGACCAATTCCTAAGACTTGGCCAGGATGAAAGATGGAGGCAGCCCCCACACCTCAGCTCCAAGGCTGGCACAGTTTTCCTCTCTTCTTAGAGGAACAGGACCGCACTGGATCCTGCATATCCAAGGTCCCTTTTCACCCCAGTATGTCATCCCTGGTTCCACTGCTGTCAGAGCAGTGAGGGAGCCCGCCCGGGTCATACCACAGCAAGTGAGGGAGCTCCACAGCACCCAAGCACCCTTGGCCACCCTTTTTGGGACCTTCCAACTGAGTTCTGTGCTTAATACCATAAAAAGTACAATTTTATATTTGAAGGGAGAGTGTGAATATATTGTTGAATATATGTTGAATATCTTTCATTTTTACATATGAAAAACATATTCATATAAGCTGAATATATTTCATGTATTTCATTTTTTTCTAAAAATGTACGGGTTTGTTTTCTGAATAAAATAAACCATCCCCAGCTTCTCAATGATGAGACATGTTACAACCCTGAACAGAATGCACAGTCCAATCTTCTAGGCCTGTTACATCTCAGGCCACTGGGTGTCACGAGTGCTCCACATCTAAATGCATGAGGAAAATGAAAGCCCAGCCACCTTTTGGATGCTCCTGTCTAGAGGCCAGAGTATTCAGCTTTCAGCTCAAGGTAAGCCTTGACACCTTTTGTCCTAGAGAGCATTTCCCACCCGTTTCTAGCCTGTCCATTCTTTTTCTGTTTTCATGAAACACTTGAGAGCTGTCATTCAGCGCAGCCATGCAATGCTCATGTGTGCCAGGCTACGACTACCAAAGCGCAGGCTCAAATCCCCATTCAGCTGTGAGGCTCACTGGGCAAGTCACTGCCCCTCAGATCTACCTACCCTCACAGGGTTATGAAGATAAACCAACCCCTTCTTGGCCTTTCATCTAAGGTTAAGTGTGGCATGCAGATGAGATGAGGAAGGGAAAGTCTGTATGGCACTCTGGGCTCCTTGGAGACAGGGCAGGATAAGCATGTAATAAATAAAAGCAGCCACATTTTCTTTCTGCCATTCTAATTGTTATGACATACATTTAAAATTAGTTTTGTTGACGGCCCTATGGGCAGGCACTGGTAGCAGGATACATAAGAACAAAGGAAAGGCCAGGGTACCCCTTTGTGTGCGTGCGCACACGTTAACCCTGGTACGGCAATTCCACACTGCACAAGGTGCAAAGTTCTTTGAATTATGAAGAGAGATCTTTTCATAAAATCTACTGTGCAGTTTTGAAATATTTCCAGTATAGACCCCCTAAATATCTAAGAACTTTGGGGGAGATCTTGTTGATTATGCGATATTCCAGTGGAATATCACCGGAATGGGACTTCGCTGCCTGTCCATTAGCCCCAATTTATGCAGTCCTGTGTCTGGAGGGGGGGGGGGG